ATTTTTCTAAACTTATAACTGATTGGTCTAAGTTTTCATTTGCACAAATCTCCACCACCCCCTCAAATATTGTTTATTTCTGTAAATTGCCCCCCCCCATCCCCCACATACACAAACTCACGTTTTTTTTACCCTTTAACTTTTTTATAAACAGATAACAAGTAAAAAAAAGAATATATAAATATAATTTTAAAAATTGTGAATAGCCTCAGAAAACTTTCGTGACGATTTTGAAAGGATATCTACAGGAACACCCTCCCCTGCCTGATTTCAAATAGCAAACATGACAGGGGTTCTTAACAAAGAAGGGGTTCTTAACAAAGAAGGGTTTCCACACCACATGGAGGTTAGGGGTTACGAGAAGCAGTGCCAACGGGTGCGGGAAGCCCAGAAATGTTGAAGCAAAAACACGAAATTAAAAAATAAATTAAAAGGCGAATAAATAATTGCAACAGTGGGGTCTTATTGAAATTATTGAAGTTATTCACTGTGGTTTGTTTGTGATTGTTTCAACAACAATCTACGTAACTTCAAATTATTTGTTTGAAATTTGATATTTAAAAATAATAACAGCAATAACAATAGCACCAAGAATAATATCATTCTAGTGTCTTCAAACTGAATTCAATGTAATTTCAAAGTCAGACTGTTATCCGGGTGCTAAAATTCATTGTGATGTTGTAAATTGGTAACTAGTTCTCCTTGAACCATCGTTTAATTTTAAATTTAAAAAAAAAAATATTTGTTTGTTAAATATTCTATTATATGTTTGTGGTGTTGATTGAGTCCGTTCCAGATGGGATTTCGATAACTATCCCTACAATTTCAGCTCAACACACTCACACATTTAAAAAAAATAAAAAATAATAATCGAATATAACCTTTTGAAATGCATTTCAACAATGCCATTGGTTTTTTTTTAACATTTATATTGTTTTCATTTTTGTTCTTCCGTTTTGGGCAAAAGATTTATATTAATCTAAATCAGTATACATTTTAAAGGCTGCTTGTGGTTCGTGCGACATGCATCACTACAGACTACAGATGACAATCTTCGGGGAAAACAAAAAAAAATCACGCTTTAGATTTAGGTATACTTCTCACATAAGACACTTTAAGTTTAAGTGTGCATATCTCGGGGAGGAAAGCGACCACGTGAGCCGAGAAAATTCCTTTTAAACGTTTTTTTAAAGGATCTAATAAATAAAAATTTAACAAAATGGGAAAAACAACTAGTCTAGATCCATATCGTTCAAAGGGATTAGTGGTGTCCCGGAAATATATAGACAAGCAGCCCGAAACAATCAATGATGTTGTTTATAGCTACGTGGCTGTCACTGCCAGCCACAACATTAAAAGTGTTTACGGGAATGGCCTCAACAAATTAACGTTCACACAAGTCTTTGAAATTCATTAAGAGTTGAGTAATGTTAGGTATTAATGAATTCAGAAGCAGGATTTGATCAAACCCACCTTTCATGTTTGGCCTTTTTAAACAAATTTGGCGTCCAAAATATAGATTCTAATTCTTCATTTGGTGACCTTCAGTTCTAAAACTACGGTATATTTTAATTTAGAATATCTGGAATAAGAATTGGAAGAGTTATTCTACCAAGCATTTAAAAAAAAAATCAAGCTTCAAATATTTCAATAAGAATCATAATTTTAATATAATCTAAATAATTATTTTTTAAAAAAAATCATATTTATTAAATAAACGCTAAAAGGCCAAGCGTACTTTCCCCAGAGCGAAACATCAAAGGGCTTAAATTCAAGACTATTGCCATTTAATGTGATAACTGCCTGGTTGGCTCAGGTAATGTCAGCAAGTCAGAAAATATCGGTAGCCATTTCGGGCAATAAAGTCAACAGAGCCGAGGTTTGTGTCGCCCTTTTTTGTGACACAAGCTACTACATAAAGAGGTAAGATCAAGAGAGAGGGCACTTGAGCTCAACTTTACTGCCTTGGCAAGTTTGCTTTGATTTGATGACCGGGGGTTTTTCTTACAGTTTAATCAAATCTTTATCTCCCCTGCCTTATTTCAAACGTTTATGTCCCCTTTTTCAAAGACTATTTCAAAGAAGATTTTATTATTATTTTTTTTAATCGGATCATATGACATAAGATATTTAACAAAGGTATTGTGCGGTTGTAAAACTGCTTTTGCCATGTTGTCTTCTTTGCAGAGCTTATCCATAATTTAAGCTTTTAAAACCAATTATGCAGTAATGTGTGCTTGGATACCAAATAAGAACTCGATTGCTAGCCTGCTCTAACAAGTCATGTCTGCAAACTGTGAGAAACTTGGGCATCTTCAAGCCTATATTCTCAAATCAATTAAATGACGTCATCACACCTCACACATTACCCGACACCCCTGTCTACTACGTCAGGAATTGTGCTGCAAAAAAAAAAAGGAAAAAAAATAAATAAAAGTGGGTGTGGTTAAAATAAAATATAGTTAGTTATGGAACCAATTCTAAATTATTTTTTTTTAAATAGCAAATTAATGCCTGTTACTTTTTCCTGTCACAAAAATTTTTATACAGAAATATTTTTAAATGTGAAATTTAATGTACAATGACGATATCCCTTAACATTGTAGTATTACATAAGCTTTCTCGTATGCAACACAAAGAGTGCACTGGCACGTTGCACACGCCCTACAAATACTGTAGCCGTGATATCAAGGATGGCGAGTTTCATGACACCGTTTGAGGGGTTTGGGTAACTGATATTTTATACACTGTAATGCACGGTTGGTGTTGTTTCAGTGGCGTGTAGCTGTGCCATTGGGTGTGTAGCAACAACCTGACAGGCTTGAAACTTCTCCCTGAAATGTCGTGTCTCACTAACTTGGCTTTAAATTGGTGGGGGGGGGGGTTACGTTGGTGTGGGGTGTGGACCCAGATACCGGTAGCCATAATTGCCCCCTGGGTGACAAGTTAGAGGCTGTCAAAAAACTATTAACGCCATTTAAGTCACGGAGGCGCTTCCTTTGATCTACGACTGCAGGCAGAGATAAGAAGCACCAGTTATCGATATCATGTTTGCTTTACGCATGAGATGCTTTGATGTCAAGTGCACGGCTGCCCGTGTGGAGTATCGGTATGCAGTAAATCATATACCTTCATTGGGCGTCAAGAAGAAGCTCTCTGCAGTGCTGTGAAGGCAGTGTTTACGGCCACCCCCCCTCAATGTAAGGCGGATAACTCTTGAGTTTTACAACCCGGACTTTATAGCGAGTTACCTACCCTCATATCTGATGGAGTCACTCACTAGTCATACTGGTCTTGTTGATTTTTACCATTTGTTTGTTTAGTATCAACTATGCTATTTTGGGGGTTTTAGCTACCAGATTTTAAGCATCAACTGCTTATCAGATTGTTTAGTATCATATTGTTTGGTAACCAGTGTTAAGTGACCACAAACAAAATGTATTAGGGACCAATCCGTAATATTACCCGTAAAATTAGGCCCAGTGTTGTTTAGTTACCGTATATACTCTCGTATCGTTCGCACATTTTAAACCAAAATATTTTCGATAAAAAAACGGAAATTCAACTTTTCATATCGACATCAGTTTCTCCTACTGTTATCTGGTATGGCGTAGTCATACGAAAAATGAGAGAATCGTTTTCACCCTTGCTCTGTCTTTTGAGTCAAGCTTCCAAATACCTCGTTCTACGATTTCTCTCACTTATGCTCTAGCAGGGGGCGATCCGTTTAAAAAAAAAATGTTTTATAGGTACTCGTAGTTTAGGATGATTGCTTTACGGTTGTGGTGGAGAAATTTTTGTGATGCCCATTTCACAAAATATTAATAATAGTTATGTTAGACAAACGGGCCATGTAAATCCCCAAAACTGAGGATGTGACCAATTTGCGAGTCAACCGCAAATACCAACTTTGACGACCCCCAAACTAAGGGTGCGACCTCTCCACTGATGTGACATATACGTGGGTATATACGGTAATCGTTTTTATTTCATTTAATTAAATTTTTTTTACAGGACCACCCAACTGCTTTTTAGTCAACGACCAGTGAGAGGGGAGGGGAAGCTGATGTTGTGCATGTGATATTGGAACAAAGAGAAAATTACACAATGTCAAGTTCAGTAATATGAAAGTGTTGGAATTATGAATGGATATATACAAGTGCTTTTTGACGGAGTGTTGTTGCTTTGTAAAATTAAATTTGGTAAACTTAAATAAAATAATAGGAGTGAACTTTTGGGTGTTGAAAATATTTAAGGGATAAAATTTCAAATTATTTAAATTTATGCATGCATTAGTTCATAAATTAGTGTTGAAACATGTATTGTATATAAATTATTTTTTAAAATGTTGTCTTCATATGTTTGAAAGCTTATTACTTTTTAACATAAAGTTTGTGAAGTTATATAATGCTAATTGTGCAATTACAAATAGTTATTTTTGTCTTTTACCGTACAGGCAATCATGTGAACATTTCCCTGTGGACCGCAACGTGTTCTCATTCAGCTTAGCTCAGGTTTTATTTGATTTTTTTCCAAATAGTTAGACTTTAGACGCTTTGGGTGCCATATTTAGACCCTTAATCGACACCGTTACTTTATCAATTTTTAGTGGCCTACGGATAAGTTTTTAAAAAAAGGTTTTGATAAATATTCTGACTTTAGTGTAGCCCAAATGGAACATTACAAAAGCAATTGAAATGATGAAATCTTACAACGACGAATGAGATGAGAAATTCAACATCCTTTGCAGCTAATTGTGCAGACGACCCCACATTAAAATGATAAAATGCTACAAATATATTGACATTCTAATTATAAGATAACCGTGATTGCAGCAAACCCAAATATTATTAACATTATTTAAGTCTTTGCGTCCCTTTAAATTTATTATTTTTTAAAAAGTTTTATTGTCAAATGAATTAATTGTCATTAATATGTATTTCATTAATTCTTTTGAATCAATATAAAAATTAATGTTTCCGATTATTAGACAAACCTCAGTCAAAAAGTACTTCCGGATCCGATTCCTTAACCAATTTTAATAAATAAATCTTCAAAATGTCGGTACAGTCATTTGTAAACAAAAGAAAAAAGACCTTTATTGGTCTTGCAGCTCCTCTTGGTTATGTTCCAGGTCTTGGAAGAGGGTGAGATAAATTAAAGAATGTGTTTAAATGAATGAATCTGTATTTTCTAATAAATATGTCTGTAAATTAGTGTGAATGTTCGATTTTTTTTTCTGTGTCGTCGTATTGAGTATTGTGTGAGTGTGGCCGTGGCGGAGAATGCACAGTGCAGCACAGCACACACTGACACAGTAGAGTGAGTAGTGGCAGTATTATTATTATATAACCAGATATTGAAAAGATGTGTGCTGTGACTTACTCTTCTGTCTTCTTACTGATCATCAGTTACTTGAGTCATGACATGAGTATGATGAGTGTGACTCTGTCTACTTACTACTTGGACTTGAAACTACTGTTACTGTTACTTCTTACTAGTAACTTGTGTAACTAAAAAAATTGTTAGTGCCCTGTTAGTGTGTACTTGATTTTAAGCTGAGGAATGTGACTATCCGTATCTGCAGTTTCTAACATTACTAGATCTAACAGTGTTATACCACTTCACCATCAGAGTTTCAAAAGTCAAAAATAGGCCGGTGACAGTGGAGAAAGGGATACTGGGTTTTCACTGGTTCAGTGACATAGAAAGTGGGAGTGGGTACTTTTTTCTTGTTGTGCCAGACCAACCTCCATTTAGGTAATCAACAAAACTTTGTTGGTTCAAATGTTGGGTGAAAGGACACGAGTCATGCCACCAAGTATAAAAAAAACTCATGTCTGCTAAATTCCTAAAACTAAACCTAACCCTAAAAATATCCCTAAATCTAACACTAAACAAAAATACATGTGCGGCTACAGTTACACACTGACACTGTGGCAAGAAAACTGTAAAAATTAAGAAAAACAATACAAAATAATTGTAAAGGACATAGCTTTTAGGTTTAAATATTTATCAATGAGTGTGTACAATTTGTGTATGTGTGTGTGTGTGTTTCGGGGCGGATGAGTGGGGGTGGGCAGGCAGGCACTAAGTTTAATGGCTAATGGTGAATTTGCGCAGATAAAGACTTAGCATTCAGGTTTGGTAGAGTTGTAGATTTTAGGTTAGATGTTTTTTGTCAAAAGCTTATTTAATTAAATTTGCATGTTTTCTTTTGCTAATTTGTGACTTTTTTTTCTTCTTTAAATTTGTTTTGATTTTTTCACTCTTTCCAATTAATTATTACATGTCATAGAAACAAAGATGGCAGCCATATGAACAAAAAGTAGTGCAAAAACACGGATCACTGGGAAACGTCAAGCGTACATTTACCAGTTTTAGTGTGTAGCATTGCTACATGGTCTACACTTAACACTAATTGACAAGACAGTTTTGGACTGTTAGATTGCATTTTTTGTGATCTACACTGCTGTAACTTAATAAAATTATATTTTGAGTGCTGTCCCTGAGTTTTTAGGTCTGTTTTTAGGCAATTTTATTTAATCTCAAGTCCACTCGGTCCTAGATAGGTCAGATTACAGCTGCCGTAGCAAAAGGTTAAGAAAGGAGTTCTGTTTGGGTGCCGGGAAAAAAAATACCAAAGATTTAAGAGATGGTTAAATCTATAGTCATTGGAGGTGCAGGTAGATTGCAACTTAATTTGTTATAAGAATGGCTTTTTAACTTTTAATATTTTACATTTGACAGAGCTACAGGGTTTACAACACGATCTGATATTGGCCCAGCCCGAGATGCAGATGACATTCCGTAAGTAATGCAACTTTAATAAAGAATAAATCCATTTATATTTTTTACTCTTAATAATTGCAGCCCAGTCTATCACGTTATATAGCACTTAGATTAGTTTTATTAATGATTATAAACACTATTTATTTCCCTTTACTTTTCTAAAATATTAACATTTTGCTGAAAATTTTCCATTTGCAGGGAAGACAGACATGCTCCCCCAAATAAGAAAAATAAACAAGACAAAGAAGAAGATGATGAGGATCTCAATGACGCCAACTACGATGAGGTTAGGCTTGTTGTCATTTTATTCAATCATTTTACTTATTTCAGACTTTTACTTTGCAAGTGCTATTCATTAAAAAAAATACATTGCTAAAAATATAAAGTTAATGTAATTGCATGTAAGCTTCTTACAAAGTTCTCTCTGCCAGAAAAGTCATTACGCTATTTTTGACATGCCTGTTCTGCCTCAATGTGCTAATTAAGCCAGTTGTTCCAAAACTGACTTAGTATTAATGTAGCTATATATTTTTAAGCAAAATAGCAAGAACAAAAATAAATTTGTGGCTTTTTAAAAAATCTTACTCTACTGCTGATATTCAGTCTAAAACATTTAATTACATCTTAGTATTTCCTAACAGTTCGATCTACCTTTATATACTTAATCTTATCAGCTGAAACATTAAAATGTTATTCTAGTTCTCAGGCTACGGTGGCAGTTTGTGTAGCAAGGATCCTTATGACAAGGATGATGAAGAAGCGGATGCTATCTATGAAGCTGTGGACAAAAGAATGGATGAGAAGCGCAAAGAGAGGCGAGAGGAAAAGCTGAAATTGGACATTGAGAAATTTCGTCAGGAGCGGCCTAAAATTCAGCAACAGTTTTCTGACCTGAAAGTATGTTGTGTTGTGTGCTTTCTTATCTTTGTCATGTGTTGTCATGTAATTGCATGTAAGTTTGCACTGGATTAGTTTTATATTTTATTGTGCTCTGATATGTTTGAATTAAGCTATATGAAAATAGAATTAAACTACATGAAAATATTAATGTCTTAAATCAAATATATTTTTGCTATTATCCATAGCTGTTTTTTGGACTGCATTATTCTCTTGCATAAACAAAATGAAAGCCTTTAAATAAAAAAAGCCTCTTAACAGTAATCTTAAAGGCACATATTCTGTAACAAATACTAAATAAAATATTCTTATGCTGTTTACCATTAAAATTTATGTTATATTATGCAGAGAGACTTGGCAAGTGTAACAGTTGATGACTGGAATAATCTTCCAGAGGTTGGAGATGCCAGAAACAGGAAACAGCGAGTGGGAAGAATGGAAAAGTACTGTAATATTTGTTTTAAAAAATGAATTAAACGTGTTATTTTGTTTGTTTAAAGTTTGGCATGATCAAGTATCAAACAGAATTAATTTAATATGTATACATTTTCTAATTTTTACACTGTATTTGCACTTCATCTCGAAAGTAAAAGCTATCTTTTTTTTTTCCCCCAAATTTATTTTGAAAGCTCAACACTTTTAAAGATCAGTAGTGCGTTAGTATCAGGGTTTGGCAACCTTATGCACCAGTTACTTAACAGATTACAATATCATTTGGTCTTTTGACTAGTTAGTGGCGTAAATGGTACTATCATGCCATTGCTTTTAACTCTCAGATTTACACCAGTACCTGATAGCGTCCTTGCTAGAGCAGCTTCTCAGAACAGCATGAACTCAACACTGTCGGAGCAGGATCAGGTTGGCCATGAAATAAGCTTGCAGATGAATAAATTTAAACCTTAGATTTATCACTTAACTAATAATTTCAAAAGCCCAGGATGAATTTATCCATCTAATTGATTTTGCTAGGCAAATGTTCATTTAAGGAGGTGGTGGTGGTAGGGATTTATTTTCTGGTGTTTTAGAAAGATTTTAAAAGGTGAATGTTTGTTGTTGTTTCTTTTCTAATGAAGAAGTATGGTGGCATAACAACGCCATTTGGGGCCATTACACCTTTAGGATCTGCCACCCCAAGTGCTGACATTGACATGAAGAAAATCGGTCAAGCTCGAAATACACTAATGGACATCAAGTTGACCCAGGTAAGTAACCCATCCAATGAGATTTACATTGCTTTATTATTCTATAGTTCATATCATTTCATTTACTATTTTAAAAAATCTTATTCTTATTTACTCACTGTGAGCATGTAACTAGCCTATGTCTGACTCTATAAATTCTTTCCCTAATTCCAGGTGTCTGATTCTGTCAGTGGCCAAACTGTAGTAGATCCCAAAGGATATTTAACAGACTTACAGAGTATGCTGCCGTCCCATGGAGGGGATATCAAGTAGGTTGCAAAGTTCCCTGGATTAAACAAAAAGCCATCTAGGAGGTTTAAATATTAACTTTAACAGCTTAGCCATTCAGTTCTGTGTAACCTGTCTTCTGTATATTTTAATCATTGACATTTTAATTTTAGTTAAAAGCAAAAACAAGCTTGATGAAATTAGTTCTTTTTAGACATTTGTTTATAAATATTATTGCATATCATTAACAAGAACCGTTGACATCATTGTTTTATTTGACTTGTTTCCTCTAGTGATGTCAAGAAAGCTCGTCTGCTGCTAAAGTCTGTGAGAGAGACTAATCCCAAGCATCCTCCAGGTTAGGAAATGAAATTTTCATTGTCCGTATAAGACTTTGATGTTGTAATCCGCATTTTTAATTGAAAATTGGGGCATGAGAAATTGAAACCACTGTTTCGCAGGCTAACCAGGTATTAATATGTCTAGTTTTTTTTAAATGAGATTAAACAAACCAATGATATTAAATACTTGATTTGAAAGTGTATCTGGTCTATATTAATCATATCCATCTACATTTCAACCTGAAGTATTTTGTTATTTACATCACATCTCAACCCATGAAGAGCAAAAACCAAGTAAATGTGATCCAATCATTATCTGAATGAGAGGCACCTAGTTTCTGTTATTGTAATAAGTTAATAGGAACAAAGATATAAGGTAAGATTCTATATTGATCCAAAGAAAGGGAGATGTTTTTTTTTTTACATTGTACATATTCATTTTCAGCACATAAATACATCATTTTAACCAAGGCAATATTTTACAATCAATACAATTGAAACACAAGGTGTATGAAAGCTTTTTTCTGCTGCTTTATGACTTATCTAAGAAATTAATCTAAATCTGGTTAAAACTGTAAAAGCAGTTTGATTAATAATCCAGAAATTTTTATTATTTATCCCCTGCAGCCTGGATTGCCTCAGCACGTCTAGAGGAAGTTACAGGAAAAATTCAAGCAGCCAGAAATCTGATCATGAAAGGCTGTGAAGAATGCCCCAAGAGTGAAGATGTTTGGCTAGAGGCTGCACGTTTAATGGTCAGTTTATGAGCTTTAAACTGTTATTAAATTACGTAATGCAAACAAATGTACTCTTTCATAGTTTAAAAAGAAATTTCAAAAGCAGTTAAAATTTTATTTGTAAATTAATGAGATTTTAGAAAGTACCCTTAAGCATCTCTACTTAACTAATTTTGTAGCTGTTGCAATGGGATCCTGACAATATTATTTGAGTTTTATTCGCTTATTTTTTTATAAATATGTGGCAATTTCTATTGTGAACTTACTAAAGCAAATTTCTTAAAGGTCTCATTGGAAAAAAGATATGTGAGAACCGCTCTGTAATGAGTCAAATTTTTATTCACTCTATGATTTTATGATTACCTTCATCTCATCTTTAAATTTTCGGTTCCTTCTGCCTTACAACAAATTTATTTGATGTATGTTTTGACAGCCGGGTGACCAAGCTAAAGCTGTTGTGGCCCAGGCAGTAAGACAACTTCCGCAGTCTGTACGAATATGGAGTAAGGCAGCTGACCTTGAAACAGAACTCAAGACTAAGAAAAGGGTGTTTAGAAAAGGTAAGCTCTAATAGAGATGATTTGGTAAATGTTAAAGTTTCTTAAATTACATTAACCCATTCCCTGCATTTGCAACTATGTGCGTGGAAGGGGGGGGGGGCGGTCACGACAAATGTTTTCCTGACACACCTCTCTCATTTTTTATGCATAATAGCATACCTTGAGACTTTCGGGGATGGTGTGATTCTGTGATTTTGATAAAAAAAGTTTTTTTTATCTTGTTTTACTTTCAAGTTCTGTGCACTTAGATCTAGCACGTGTTAATGTTATATTATTCTTACAGTTAAAACTAATTCATTTCTGGATCATTTATTCTTAATTCTTTAAAATTAGGTAATACTTAGCAGCTAAATTTTTTTTTTACAATTAATTTAAAGAGGAGCTAGCTAAATTTTTGTTTACAAATGTAAAAAGGAGCTACTTCCCTTTGTTCAGGAATATAAATAAAGTATGGAAGTAGCAACGCCTAAGGGTATGAGTTAAGGTAATTTCATTTTACTGTCTTCAATAGCTTTATAATGTAATGGTCTTATTGTTCTTTTAGATTCATGTGTTAAAATGAAGACAGTTAATTAATGCTTAATCCTTGAAAATCAGCTTTAGAAAATATTCCCAACTCTGTGAGACTCTGGAAGCAAGCTGTTGAGCTTGAAGATGAGGAGGATGCCAGGATCATGCTTAGCCGTGCAGTTGAATGTTGCCCAACCAGTGTTGAGGTATGTCCATTCTGTCTTCATATGCACTGAGCTCAAATAATGTAGGACTAGAGTAAATCACAAGTCTGTGCTAATAGAACTATGGCACCATCTTGCAAAATTTTATTTTTATTCCTACAACACTAAAAAAAGTAGCATTTTAAACAAAACAATTAAATTTGGTGATATCAGCGTTCCAGTGATTCTTAATTGAATAACTGAGACAACTTTAAAAAAAAATTTATGTACCTTAAAGATCTTTCTCTTTCTGTGCCCCCAAACAATGAAATTCTCTCCCATTATACATCTGCAATATACCGACCATCCAAACCTTTAAAACTGCACAAGACACATCTCTTCAAACTCTACTATTCCAACTAATTCTCACCCCCCCCCCCCCCCCCACCCCCCCCCCCCCTCTGACTGATAAAAAATGCTCAATGCTGCTGGGTGCCATCCATGGCTAGACGGGGGTAAATAGTGCAGGGTGGGTGAGGTCAATCTTTTTTACAAAGCTATTTTTAAAAGAATAATTTTGTGTAACTGTTTTTAATATCATGTTTCTTTTTTTTCTTTTTGCTAATTTTTATGTGAAACGTGGTTAGCCTTGCCTAGGCTGGGGTATTGCACTATACAAGACCACTTTAATAATAATAAAGATATTTCCAAAGGACATTTCAAATAACAGATATTCACAAAATCAAACCCTTTAATTTTTTCAATAAGTTAAATAAAATCATTAAATAAGTTGATTTCTTTATTCAGCTTTGGCTAGCTTTGGCTCGTTTGGAGAGTTATGAAAATGCCAGAAAGGTTTTGAACAAAGCCCGTGAAAGCATCCCAACGGACAGACAAGTGTGGATTACTGCAGCTAAACTAGAGGAGGCTAATGGAAACTCTCACATGGTAGAGAAGATTATAGAGAGAGGTAATTTAATAGCTATTAATTTTTTCTAATAATTTTTTTTTCTTCTAAGAGTCATTTCCCAAAGTTGGCTGTATGTTAGCTTAGGTTGTAGATTCAACTATGCAATGAGTATAATAAGTTCACTATCATTGTACATTTTTCAAAAGTACAAAAATTCATTTGCAAACATAATCAAAATAGGCATCTGCAATATTTAAAAACATAATAATTTATATAAATATAAGTTTGAAGTTCTGCTAAATTTTGGTTTCTTCATGTCGTAATTTTTGTCCAGCTCTCAACTCTCTTCGAGCTAACATGGTGGAAATCAACAGAGAGCATTGGATCAAAGATGCAGAGGACTGTGAGAAGAGTGGTAGCATACATACATGTCAGGCAATCATGTGAGTTTTAGCTGTGTCAGTTGGGGCAGCTAGGAGGACAACAGTAAATAGTGCAGTTGGTGGGTGGGGAGGATGAGAATGGCAGTAACTAGGGCAGCTGTAAAACACAACAAAATATTTTGGGGGGGTGAAGGGTTCAGATTTGGGTGCAAATAAAATTCATTGTCATATAACTGAAAAACAACTGCCTGAAAAAACAATGTCAGAAGCAAGATGGTAAATACTAGGTTAATATAAATAAAGCAACTTCTTAAAATAGAAAGCAATTTATTATCTAGAGCAGGGATGGGCAAAAATTGTGTTTGTAGGGCCACATTGACAAATGAAAATTATTGGAGGGCCGCTTAGATATTTTGCCATATTGGCATTACATTGCGAAGGTTAAGGACTGTTTACAAAAATAGAAAATTGGAAAGAAATTTTATAACAAATGTTAAAACAATCATAACGGTACATGAAATTCTGTAAAATTCAACGACATAACTTAAAAAACTAAGCATTTTTTTTTATTTTTCTAAATGCCCTCTGGGGCCTCATAAAATCAGTTGCCGGGCCGCATGTGCCTGCAGGCTGTAGTTTGCCCACCCCTGTTCTAGAGGCAATCAGATGAAGCCAGTGTTAATTGAAGAAATGTATATATATCATCCTCCACAATGGCTTATTTTGTAGCTTACATATTTTTTTTTAAAATGTCATAACACATTATAAATTGAGATTAAAATATTGGCAAATGAGATTTTACAATTAAAAAAAGACACCAAAAAATCATTTTTGATACTTCCGGTACCTTAAAATGTCTGAACTGAAGTGTTATGCAGGAAATGTTTAAATTTAACAACTCTTAGTGAACTTTTTCTTTCAGAATTGTCTGAACAATATACTGAGAAAATAAAACTAAATAATAGATACTATAGCCCAGAAATTTGAATTTGTTGATGATTTTGAGACTATAACAAGACCAGCCAATGGTACGGAACCCTCAAGGAACAAGAGGACAAGAAGACCCAAAAACAGCTCGACAAGAGAGGTCGACAAAGATTTCAATAAGATTAGAAAGAGATGGAATGACTTAAAGAAGATACCAAGGGACTGGAAAGGCTTGGAAAGAAATTTGTTAATGGCCTATGCTCCATTGGGAGTTGAACATGCAAAGAAGAAGGAGGAGGAGAACACAAGATATGCAGCAGTCGACCATTCCTGATATGTGTAAATCTTAATCTGTTTCATTTGCAGTAAAATTGTGAGTTTCAAATTTATGACATTTTTTATTTCTCTTATTATTTGCCAGCCGTGCTGTAATTAGTGTTGGTATTGAAGAAGAAGACAGAAAACACACTTGGATGGAAGATGCTGACTCAGTGAGTAATATAGACATTCTAGTGCTGGTTCAGTAGTTTAGACATTCTAGTTCTGACTCATTGAGTAATATAGATATACTCGTGGTCAGGTATTTGTTAAAAAATGTAACATCTGATATTATAAGTGAAATTAAATATGGATATTAAAGGAGCTCATGGAATTTTTTTTCTAAAAAAACAAGTATGAAAATTCATTGTTTAGGACTTTTAATATTTTAGTTGGCAACAATCAAGTGTGTTGAAAAGGGGGCAATTTTTTGTTTATATTGCAGCATTATCAGCCAACTGCATATATATGTATATTTTTTTTTTAGGGTTTCTGCAAAACTCTTCTCCTGTCCTGGGAGGCGCTATCCCTAGCCACATCACTGGCAACAGTTACTGCAGTAAAGAATCTGGGAGGCGCCATCCCTAGCCACATCACTGGCAACAGTTACTGTAGTAAAGAATCTGGGAGGCGCCATCCCTAGCCACATCACTGGCAACAGTTACTGCAGTAAAGAATCTGGGAGGCGCTATCCCTAGCCACATCACTGGCAACAGTTACTGCAGTAAAGAATCTGGGAGGCGCCATCCCTAGCCACATCACTGGCAACAGTTACTGCAGTAAAGAATCTGGGAGGCGCCATCCCTAGCCACATCACTGGCAACAGTTACTGCAGTACAGAATCTGGGAGGCACCATCCCTAGCCACATCATTGGCAACAGTTACTCTGAGTTACTGCAATACAGAATCTATCTGCAAAAAATAAATTAGAACCTGTGCTGCCGTTTTATCAGTTTTATGGGTTATCTTATAATTAACGTGTTTGTTGCATTTAACACACATCAAAAGCATGTAATATTTATTTCAGTGTGCGTCTCATCAAGCGTATGAGTGTGCAAGAGCCATTTATGCCTATGCTCTGTCAGAGTTCCCAAGCAAAAAGAGCATCTGGCTGAGGGCAGCGTATTTTGAAAAAAATCACGGCTCAAGGTATTAATGTCACTATTAGTTGAACGTCTTTTAAAGCCTTAGATTGCCTTATTTAGTTTCCTATTTAACTTTTTTTTAAAATTTGACTTTTATCCACAGGCTTAACTCATTTAAAAAAAGAATTATTACTTAATACCAAATGCACGCATGCCCTGCAGTTAGTCTGTTTTTGCACAGTTGAAGATCTGTATAATACACATGATTAAATTACGTCAAGACTTTTAAGGAGGGGAAGTTAATGGTTTTAATCTTTTTGTGGTGTCATGTTACGCAAAGAAATGATATTTTTTGTGACCAAAACTATAGTTAAGTAATGTGGACAACCCCAAATAAAATACATTTGTAAATGAAATTAAATTATAATTTTGAAATGGCAGCTAATGTGAAACTTTTTATGTTTTTAATGTAGTCTTAGTTTAGTTTTCCATTATCAGTACATCAGATCCAACCTTGCATGGTGATTTGCATTATATAAAAATGATACAATTATGTCAACCATCTAATCAGAAAAATGTTTTCACATTTTTTTTAGAGAATCTTTGGAAGCCTTATTACAGAGAGCAGTGGCCCATTGTCCTAAAGCCGAGGTTCTCTGGTTAATGGGGGCTAAGTCCAAATGGTTAGCTGGAGATGTGCCGGCAGCCAGAAGCATTCTTGCCCTAGCCTTCCAAGCAAACCCAAACAGTGAAGAGATCTGGCTCGCTGCCGTCAAGCTGGAGAGTGAGAACAATGAGTTTGAGAGGGCCCGGAGGCTCCTTCAGAAGGCCAGGGCGTCTGCCCCCACGGCCAGGGTTTTCATGAAATCTGTCAAGCTGGAATGGTGTCTCGGGGAGATAAGGAACGCAGAAATCCTGTTGGAGGAAGCTGTCAAACATTACCCAGACTTTGCCAAGCTGTGGATGATGAAAGGTCAAATAGAAGAGGAGGCTGGTAAGAGGGACGCAGCACGAGATGCCTACAACCAAGGTTTGAAGAAATGTCCCCAGGCTGTTCCACTTTGGCTGCTCTTGTCGAAGCTCGAGGAGTCCAACGGGCAGCTCACCAGGGCGCGTTCTATTCTGGAAAAAGCCAGGCTGAAAAACCCGCACACAGATTTACTCTGGCTGGAAGCTGTTAAAGTAGAAACAAGAGGTGGATTGAAAAACATTGCACACACCCTCATGGCTAAAGGTAAGTGCTTCTGATGTTGTCACTCAAAACATTTGGGTTGGGCCGGTTTTTTACAAATGGGAAATTTGTTGTTTAAAATCTTATCATAAAAATGGAAAGATTTAACTTTTTAATCTCTCCATTTCAGCCCTACAAGAATGTCCGAACTCGGGCATATTATGGGCAGAGTCCATTTTCATGGAGGCAAGGCCCCAGAGGAAGACAAAATGTGTTGATGCCCTGAAGAAGTGTGAACACAATCCTCATGTGCTCTTGGCTGCTTCTAAGTAAGTTGATCTACCAGCCACTGTCATAATTTCATGAGCTAATCACTTTATGACATCAACAGTTGTTCTGACATGCAGCTAGATCTTTGATGCAGGGAAACACCTTTTTTTTTAATGAATAACTTATTTCCTTTCAGAATAAATTTTGAAAATGATTATCTCCCCTTATCTGGACCAATTTGCTCATTTGCCTATTTTTTGGAATGGAACTGTGATTAATCTGTTGTAAAATAAAATTAGTTTCAAGATTATAAATTATTTACATAGTTCATAAGTTACAGTTTTTTGATTTTGTTACTGAATCATTTAAAAACATTTTCAAAACATGCTACTACAAGACTGAATAACTTTAACTATTTTTGAGTGGCTCACTAAAAGAACAATATATAATTATAAGACTGGCCTTATAAATTTGCATCCACTTGAACAGAAACTTGACACTAATAAGAGAGAATGTTTAACATGTCTTAGATTAACCAATATCAGGTGACTTTTTGTGTGTTTTTTTCACAGATTATTTTGGTGTGAGCGCAAGATCAGCAAGGCTCGTGATTGGTTTAATCGCACTGTTAAAATAGACCCTGATCTTGGAGATGCCTGGGCTTATTTCTACAAATTTGAGTTAGCTCACGGGGAAGAGGTAACTGGGAAATATACTTTACATTAGAGTATATTTATTTTTTAAATTTCAGTCTGCCTCCTATGGTGTGTGTTCTTGAATCTCTTGGTGGACACCTTTCATTTTGGTGACATTCATCACACACCCCACCCCTTCAAAAAAAATTTTTTTTTATCATTTGGTTTTCTTTGCTGTACCCCCAAAAATACTGTATTGATCTTATCCCAGTTCAAGGACTGCTTAATTATTTGAATTATTGAATAATATGAAAAAATTATAAAAAAATAATAGACTTAATGATCAGCAAAAATGTCTAAGATAACTAAATGCACCTTTGCAAATATAAAACTCCCCAGAAACACCAGGAAGAAGTCAAGCAGAGGTGTATATCGGCAGAACCTCATCATGGAGAAAACTGGTGTCGAGTTTCAAAAGACATTCAAAACTGGCGCCTGAAGACGGAAGAGGTGCTGCCTTTGGTGTCTAAAATACTTACCGTCCCTACATAGAAAAAAAACCAAGTTATTTTTATTCTTGTCGTCTTGAAAAAAAATCGGATGCCCAGTAAAAAGAGTGCTCAGTGGACCATGTCTTAACATTGTCCTTGTGTTCAACCATAGAGTTTAAACATTATTCACTCAAACTAAGGGGCACATCCACCTAGAAAAGTTAAAATAAGCTAGCTATTCAATCTTGTAGGTTTTTAAAAAAAAATCTATTGGTAACAATAAATCCATAATATCATTAATTAAGATAAGGCAGAATCCAAAAGGTTCTTTGTTCGATGTTAAAATTTTCATTCAATTTTTGTTACTTCATATCTTAGCTGTAGTTTTGTTAACTTAAAAAAAAACAAAAAAACTTGTCACTCCCTACGATTTACAGTGAAGAATATTATCTCAGCTTATTAAATAATTACAAATGTTTTATTATTTGTGTAGGCAGATGTTATAAATGAAGTGCAGTTCCAAACAAATATTATTCTTTTACAATACAGGTGAAAAAAAAATACTGTTTTTTTTTTAAATTGTTGTATTGAAAACTTGTAAAGAAAAAAAATAAATAAAATGGAATTGATACTTTAAAAGTATTTTTTTCTGCTCTCCAATTTAAAGTGTTTGTTGTTTGTCTTTACTGGGACAGATTCTGAAGGATTGTTAAATCTCATTTTTCTGACTACAAAAAAGGATAACTGTATTAAAATATCAAGGATAATTATTTCTATATTTATTTTGTAGTTTGTTCATATAATAATGATGACTCATATAGTAATGGCCAAATAACCACTCTGAAAGTCAATATTGTCATTATGGAAGTGAGGTTTAAGTCATCGTCTGGTTTTTGTGCTTGAGAAATACTTTTAAACAGGAGTCAGTGAATTTTTTTAACCTTTACCCAAAAATATATTTGTTTGTACTGCCATCAACCCCTCAAATTTAAAAGGAGAAAATCATAAAACTAATATATATGGAGAATATATTTATAAAAAGAATAAAATAAATGCAATCAAGTTAGAATAAATTTTAAATCCTCAAAAAAAAATGTGTACGCTGTGATTAAACAATAGGTGACTAGTCCCAAAATGATGTATACAAGATAACATGTGGTTGGGTTTCTCCGTTACCTTGGACAGATGAAGTGTTACAGGAGCAAATGTTGCTGTTGTAAAAAGAAATGTGCTTTTTATATACTTTTGAAAATGTTTATTGAACCCCCATTGCCCTCCAAATGTTCATTTTTAGCCCACTTAGTTCGCCAAACCCTTGCTTGAAATTTCTTAAATTTAAATTGTTTTAGTTTAGAAATAATTGTTATCTTTATCAGAATGTTTATCCATACCTTGAAAATGAATGTATACAAAGTGGTCAAAACAAATTGTCATTTATTTGGACCAATAAAAGAATCTTATCTTATCTTAATAATACTTAATAGTATTAATAGTATACACCATGCTGTGTTCAAAACTTGCATAATTATATTATAGGTTACACATGTTAAATATTTAGGCTAAATTATGTTTGTGCAATAAAACTAAAATCAAAGTTATTTCAGTGGTAATGAAATAATTATTTGAGAAACAACTTTATTAAGCACATTATTGATTTAAAAAATGACGGACAAATGCATCGTAAAACTTGATTATTTGAACAAATAAGTTTCAATTAATTATAAATAATGTTAAATTTACAAAACTTGACAAGATGAAAACCTTACATTTAAAAACTGCTTTAGTACTGGTACTGTATCCGAAAATAAAGAGAAAATAGTTGTAGTGTCAGTAAATTTACATTATTTACACCAGTGGTTCTCAAACTTTTTCAGGCCTTGGGGCCCATAACTCGTCTTGATATAAGCATTCTCAGAATTGAGTTCTTGCCACCCTCTACGGAAAATAATTACGCAAGGAGATGTAAAATTGTAACAAATTTGAACATTAAAAAAAAATTGAAATGAATTTATATATTTGTTTGTAAATTAATTAATCAACTAATTATTATTAATCTGATAGAGAAGTACCTTAATAGGATCATTATTTAGCAAGAGTTTTAGACATCTAACGTCTTCACTTGTCAATTTTCTTAATGTGATGGAAGCATGGGTGAGATTATTTCTCAGTGCCTGGCTTTAAATCTCTAAGCAGAAACTTCACTTATGTTAACTTTTGTATGATATCTATTTGAACTTAACCTTGCAAATACACCCAATACAATGATGAGAATGGAACATGGAGCATTCCACGCTGCAGAATATGTCTTACTGTAGGTAACGCCCTTGGCACAACCATTTTTTAACTGATTTAAAATAATTTTTTCTCCCAACAACTGCATTAATCATAAAAAAAGGTTTTACCCAATCATAAGAAGATCCTAAAATCGCTCTGAATATCTTATGAAGCATATCCAATGTCGCCAAGTACTACAGAATACTCCAGTCATCTTGGATCTTCTCACTCTTCCCTTCTATTTCTGAAGGACTAGGACATTAGTATTACTTGCTATGATCTTATATTTCCCTTTAATTGAGTTATAATTCTAAGACCAAAGTAAGGAAGGCAGATATGACTCTTAAAGGACAGATCTCACTCCCATGCTAATATTTCTGACAAGCAATGTGGCGTGTGTTCCATTGGGTTTTGAGTCGGCAACAGGAGAAGCATTAGCCCCAACAGACTTCCCTAGAAAGCAGAAAGTCCTGAACACAAAGCGCCAGGAATAGTCAGATTATTGTGAAAGTGTGCTAAAATTTAATTCACTGCAGTAAAGAATATCACCTGATTCAGACTTTCATCTGTTGCAAAAAGTACATTAGCGAGAATTCATTTTCTTGAAAGTCAATTCCTTCTGTGGTATTACAAGCTTCTTTGATTTTGCCACGCCATACAAATATTTTCTGATTTCTCAGCCTCACAACTTATCTTCCTATTTCTCCGCCCTTTATGTCTACGCCCGCCGCTTGTTTTTAAATTAAAATCATAGCGAAATGAGCTTGTAAGTTTTTGCCTCAGCTGTAAAGTTTATTTTTAGCACACAAAGTCTTCATGTTGTCAGCTCATGGTGTCTATCACGCTTTACATGAATTGTTAATTGCCCCTAATTGAAAAATAGACCAAAGCTCTTTTTTTCTCTTCCTTGTGTGGAGAAATATGTTTTCCTATCATCATCATCTCTTTGCTACTGTCACTGAAAATCAAATATGGATCCTAATTCTCCTTTTAAATTTATACAACCCCCATAGTTACCACACACCTTTCAATTCATATTTCACATTTATGTATGTTATCTAAACTTTATTAGCTTTATTTTACATTTCAATACNTTTTTTTTTTTTTTTCAACCCCCCCCCCCCCCCCCCAAGTTCTTTTTATGGCACCATAACAGCACTTCTCGCTGTCTGTGCCATACCACATAACTCTGTTCACATTTTTTTTTTATTTGATAAAGCCAATTGTATTTAAAAAATTTTTTTTTTACAAATTTAATATATAATTTCTTTTAAATATTCAAGCGTTGAAAGTGATTTTTTAAAATTATATTTTCAATATAAAGTGGAGAGATTAGTAGGTGATACTTTTGTAAAGTCTTTTAAGAAGACTTGAAACATTTCAAAAGGAAATACAAAAATCTTTTAGAATGTACATCTCTTTAATTTCATTAAAAAATAAATTGGGGCTGAGCCTGGTACAGATCATTATACCCGGAAATACAGAGTATCCATACACCCTCCACATACCTAGGACCCAGCAAAAGATCGGAACTGGGTCCAGGGTGGTAAAAAAAACTATTATTTTTCAAAAAGGGTTCCCACCCAATGGGGAAAAATGAAAACTGCATGGACAGAACCAGTACATCTTTTTTAAATAATAGTTTTGTACCTATTACCTGAATTGAATAAATAACAAAATAAAACTGACTAGCGATTGGTACCATGATGTAATTAATATTTATTAAAATAATATGCTTACGTTGATATCAGACAAATGAAAACTGCTACCGATCAGCAACACTAACATAGTGAAGCTCCGCTCCATTTTTGTTAAAGTTTATAGGTTAGGGCTGTCTTTCTTAGCTCTGGTTCATTACAACACACACACCACCTCCACGGCCACCTGACAAAATGTCAGGGGCCGCTTGAGAATTTCAGAAAATTGATTGGCATTTTTTCTTATTTGAATTTTCATTTGAAAACTTTAATACTTATTTACAGTGATCAGACTAATTTCTTATTGTTACTGCATTCTGACTACAGTAAGCTACATCAAATAAAAACTATGATATAGATGTCAGCAGAAAATTTAATATAAATATTTTGCGGTTTCTTTTCATTAAAAAAAAAATGTATATATTCTATAATTCTATATACCAGTATGATTTTGTTTGCAGGTTTCACTTCCATACAAAACTTTAAGCAGGTGTGGGAAGTTATCAAACATTTTCTGGGGATTGACTTACACAACAGACCCCTCCACCCTTCTTACCCCTTATTTCTACTTCTCTCCAAATTAAAGTACCAAACTTTTATCTAAAAAAAAAGCTCTGCCCCTCCCCGTCCTCAATTTCAAGGTATATTTCTGGTTGTAGGTCACCACAACCTGGCAAATGCCATAAAGAGGTTGCAGCACTAAAATGGTTGAAAACAGCTGAGTTAGGATTATATTATTATTATTAAGCTATGATAGTGTTTTGAATCCTTTAACTTTGATGCCTTCGTGATTACTACTGGTTCTTCCATACATGCTCTTTTCACTTTTTCCCATTGGGTGGAACACATTATAGAAAATGAGAAGATATCTCTTTTTTTTGTCAACACCACGACCCAGACTCAGTCAAGCCAGGTATTGCTTTGAGATAACCAGGACCTTGACTGGGTATAAACCTGCACCCGGTTCAGCCCTCAAACAAAGGAATCAATTTACACAATTTAGCTAAAAATTTCAAAATTTAATTTAACACAAAGAACCAATAGCTGATCACGTCCATAAAGAAAAAAAATTAATAAATACTTCTAATAAATACAAGTTGTTAACTACAGACAAAAGACATGGCATGGGAAGAATTGAGTTCAAACAGTTTGAAAACCAATATAACAGAATAAACCATTCAAATAAAGTAGATGTCATTGACCTCTCAAATAATACACTTTTATAACTCTTGAAGGGAAATGAGATAAAAAGACAATTTTGAGATTGAACCTCAATGTACGGTATAATAATATTTAAGGTTGTGGTATTTGTAATATTTGTCTTCTCTGAGAAAGGATCACATCTGGTTAAGTAGATTTGTGGCTGATTTGTATTAATCTTCATTGCAGCAGCCAAGTCTTCACACACAAACTGGAACTTGAATTCTATTTAAGCCACTGATCAGCTGGGTAGAGGACGTATTCAGTTTTGTGGCCCATTTTGTGAACTGTGAACTCATCATGCTCATTTAGTGGACAAGCAACTAGCCTTTCTTACACTCCAAAACTTCTTTGGGGAATATGAGAAAGTAACTTATGCAAACAAAACATAAATTGTTTAAAATCATGGTTTACATAGCATTCTGTTAACCAGGAGTTCAAAATGATTTCTAACACAACCTTAAACATTAAAAAATCACAATTTTTTTTTTAAAAAGAGAAGAAAAATAAAATTTTAAAACTATACAAGAATGTTTTGCTAAGATTACAATAAAAATAAGTCATGTGGCAACCTCAAGTCAGTGACTTGCACAAATATTTTGGAAAAAAACTTTTATAAAAAAGCACTAGTTTACAATTGTTTTGTTTTTTTAAAATGTCTTATTCATGATTTGTAAATAACTAAGTGGAACCTGAAGCAGTCAAGTAGCTTTATAATGCTAAATTAGGAAAAAACAACTATCTGATCACATTTCAAAACTATACTGAAAAAAACAATGCACAGTAAATTTTCCAATAAAATAACATTTTTATCAGTAAGAAAGTAATAACTTTTTATGTAATGGTAACTACACTATTACAATTAAAGTGAACTTGAAGACATTTTCAGCATTTCTACTTTTGAGCAGTTTGATTTGTTTGTTTTTTTAAGGGGGTGTCAACAGCAATTTATTTCTATTTTTGTAACAGTTGTAACTTTTATCATGGTACAGAAGGAAACATTTTCTCAACACTAAGTTACCAATATCCTGAAAGTTGATAAATTAGGTACCTGGTAACCTTTGCAATATCTATCACATCTCTGCAGGTCAAAGTTTTCAAAATAAAATTCTATTCATTTGTTGACTAGGTAAACCAATATTTGATATTCATCACATAACACTGACTGATTTGCCAGTTGACAACAGAAATGTTAAAAAAAAGGCACGTACCATGTTTCTCCAAAAATAAGACTTTCCCGGAAAATAATCTCTGGCATGTTTTTTTTCCCCTGGATGCTTGTAATGAAAGCCCTACCCCAATGTCTTAGATGGACACCTATTGGTAAATAAACAGAACTCGAGACTTATTGCCGAGTCAAAAGATAATTTTGCTTCCAATAGGAGCATAGCCAGCATGTATTTGATTTTTACATGATTGTTAGATGAAAAAAAATGAGAATTTCTCTGAAAGTAAGCCCTTATGCATTTTTTTTAAAGCAAAAATTATTAAAAGGTCTTATTTTCTGAGAAACATTGTAACAGGAATGCAGATTAAAATATTTTCACAACTAAATGTGGCTTGAGCTTCAGAATATTTTCTGAAACACCAATATGTTTTTTGCTAACTGGGTAAACAAAACTAAAAGATATGCACTAGTCATACACATAAGTGTATTGAATTGGGTACATAGTATCGGTACATCAGAGCAGTTGGCAAGCATGTCATGGTAGGAAAAATTAGTTGTTTTTTTTAAAGATCTCTGTTTGTATGACATTCTTAACTGTTCCTTCAGGAAATGTGTTCAACTTCGTTAAAATAAAAAATAAGTTTTAAACCAACTCTTCGGCTCCTGTTTAATTAACATATAATTTTAATATACAATTTATTTCATTAATTAACAAGTAATACTGTACTATATTTTACTATGAACAGCATATTTATGATACTGTGGATGACAGGAACCATTCAAGCACAACAATCTGCAAACGGAGTGAAGAAACAACTTACTAAAATAATGCATGTTAATGAATGCAGCAAACAAGGCAACAAAGATTTAACAAACAGACTAACATTTCTACAGTAACCTTTTAAAAATGTTCTCTGTGTCAGTTACCATACTGAGAATTGCAGTGGCTAACCATAGTAAGTCCAAAAACTTAATTTTATCACTGTGGTATTTATATTATTCTAACTTAGAGCCGTTTTGCTGTATTCTCAACTAAAGGTGGTATTGTGATCAAGAGATTTTATCAAACTGACATGTTACTGCAATTAGTTTGACAATAATTGTTCCCCCCCACCCCCCCCCCCTTATTTTTAATTATTAATAAGAAAACATTGTGATCAAGAGTTTTTATCAAACTGACATGTTACTGCAATTAGTTTGACAATAATTGTTCCCCCCCACCCCCCCCCCCCTTATTTTTAATTATTAATAAGAAAACATTTTTTTTTTCCTTCAAAATAAACTCTTCCAATAATGACTTAAAAATTTTCCCAGAGTAAATATTTCTGAGTGAAGAACTAACACTAATATCTAATGCTGCTTGGGTGTGAAAATGTAGGTATAAAGAGTTGCATTAAATTTATACAATTTTGATAGAAACTGATCTGGTATCAGTGGTATTGATTACCATTATCCGCAGCACCACATTATTTATCTTAAAATATCATTAACAATACCAAAGCCTAACTAACACATATAATTACAATTTCATTTGTGTTAAGGTAAATTAAACAAGTAACGCAAATTAATTATTTAAACATACACTTTTGCTAGTGCACACTTCTTTAAAACTTTATCAATAGACAAAAACATAGTTTGCCTTTTAAAGCTTAAGCCCTATTTACTCCACTTACCAGTTGCATCAAATTTTACCAATCAGATAATTGTGCAACTTTTTTATCTATAAATCCCTGCACAGCTGGATGTTGCAAACCAGAAAAGTTGAATAAAATTAATTTTTACAGAAGTAATTAATACACATAAATATTGTAGGTATTTTTTTTTACTATTTCGAAACTGAATTTTTTACAACTACACCATATGAAGATTGGTCATCTGAGATGTCATCAAATCCAGACTCTGCTCAGTTTTGGAACTTTCTCTGGCTTGTTCATTAAGCTCCTGCTCTAAACGACGACGAATGGGGGTGAGATCCTCAGCAGAGAGTGATCTAACGAGCCTCAGATCATGACATGGTTTAACTGGAGATGCTGTGGTGGACTTGGATTGTGATAGGAGCTGAGCTTCTGTGAGTCTGTTAGTTAGTGTATCTGCAATAGTTTCAGGTGTTGAGTTTGAAGAAAGAAATGGACTGGCACAATTTTCAAAGAATTCAGAGCCAAAATCAGATTCTTGCATGGAGTTACAGAGTCTATTAGGAATTTTATATGGACATCGAGATCTTCTATAGCGGTCCTTGCGCATTCGAGACATGCGAGGTACAGATCTTCGTCTTCTTACAGACTCTTCTAAAACATCTGGGTTTCTGTATTCTAAACGTGTGTGTTCTGACTTCTGGGGTGAAATATTGATCATTGGGCTCGACATTTGGTCTGAAACTGGTAGCAGGTCAGACACATTGGTAACAAAATTAGTGTCCAGTTGAACAATATGATATCCATTGGGCCGACCTAAACTTGCAAGATTAGGAGAACTTTCACTCTTGGAGCGCAGACGGTGCTCTCTCTTTCTCAGGGATGCCTGACCACGGGATTCAATCAAAAACTGTCTTCTGCTATTTGTTATTGTGCTGAGCATTCCAAGCTCATCAAGGGCACTATCTAAATCCATTGAATCTGAATAATTAGCATTCAACATTGGATCTTCGCCGAGAGAAACACTCATTTTACAGCCCAGGGAAGTCACGGGTGCAGACGAAGACAGTCTGCCACCTATTTCCCGATTTTGCAACCCACGGAAACTTACAGAGGAACTCACACTGTCAAAGTTCTTACAATCATATGAGGGAATGAACATATTGATGTCTTGATTCACAGTTGCCTCAGTTTTGTGAGTACTATTTTGTGAGTTCTGATTCTCAAAAGCATAGAATTGTTGTTGGTTACTATAGCTATCATTTAAATGAATATCTTGTAGCAGAGGGCCTAATGGGCAATCTTGATTGAAGTGCCCAGTGGATTGCTGCAGTGTACTGCCTAGAGTTCTTGTCACAGCACCAAGACCTTGAAACTGTTGGGGATAGGAAACAGATGGCTCACAACAAAAGCAACCACGATTCTCTGACAGAAATGGCATTGGATACCTGTTGAAAAAGAAAACAAAATTACCTAGGGATTTAAGTGTGGCAAACATTAACTCTAGATCATCGCAATAGTTAATACTACTAAAGCCTTGTGGTGTGTGCCATGCTTGGAATTGTGTTGAAATGTATCCGTCAAAATCATATTTTCTGGAAAATATGTTTTTGATGGATAAATTTAAGCAAACATTTAAAACTTCTACAAATTTTTATATAATTTGTCCACTCTGCTATTAAGTTTTATGTGCCTTTTCGTAAAGAGAGTTTTTAAAAGCAGTCACAATATATTGTCTATATTACTATTAAAGTAAAAAGAATAGCGAGTTTTTATTCACGAAAAAAAACATAGCCTTTTAACCAAAAGTACTTCATGAAAATATGAAGAGCTTATTTTCAAAACGGGGTATCCACCATTTAAAAAAAAAAAACTTACCTTTTGTAAAGCAAGCCAGGTTCCTTTAGGCATGGTAAAGTTTATTTACACATTATATTCCTATTTTATTCTAACTAAGTCTAAGTAAAATAAGATAAAATTTTAAAATATGATCACTCAGTACTCAGTCTTTTTTTCACTCAGTCTTTTTGTAGTCATAGTGTTCCCAGTTGGTTTAGTTTATAGTATTTAACATAAAATTACCAGTATCAGGCATACAATTTTATCTTCTTTTGGGCCTACTAATTAGGTCTGCTTATACATCATATATTTATGAATTTATGTGTATTTTATTTAGAACCACCAACATTTAGATTTTGAATCTGGTTTTAACTCTGGACTGGTCACTGGGACTTGAGATGAGTCAGAATGACTAGGAGTGTCACTTCTCTGCATTAAAGGTATGAGTGCAAGAGAGAAAAGAGCAGTGACACTGAAGAATAGAGTGAAGACTGAGTCGAGTGACTCAGACGATTCACTCAGTCAACCTCAACTAGGTACTCAAAAGTCACTAGTCAGTGATCAACAAGAAGTAGAAGACTTCAATTATTTTTTTAATGGGCCAAACGGTCGGAATTGTTTTAATCTACGCCTCTATCAAATTACTCTTCAATAAAAGAATATATATATATATATAATATGCACGAAATCTTAAATTATAGATATTTAGATGGAAATGAGAAAAAATACAAAATTCAAAGTGTTCAGAAACCTTGACATGTTTTCAATCCTAAACATAAACAAACACGGTGGTCGAGGCCGTCATTGTTAATTCCCAAAATGCAAAGCGGAAAAAAAAAAAAAAAAGAAACGGAAAACAATTCTTGAGAAAATTTGCAAATTATAGCCCTTTTTCTCTTAAGAAAATGAAAAAAAATACAAAATTCAAAGTGTTCAAAAACCTTGACATGTTTTCAATCCTAAACATAAACAAACACGGTGGTCGAGGCCGTCATTGTTAATTCCCAAAATGCAAAGCGGAAAAAAAAAAAAAAAGAAACGGAAAACAATTCTTGAGAAAATTTGCAAATTATAGCCCTTTTTCTCTTAAGTATTAAAAAATACCCAAAATTAATGGTTTTATTTTAGAAACATACACGAATCTCTAAAATTTTACGGATGCTAGTTGTGTTCTTTTAACTTTCGATGATTTCTTTTTTTTTTTAAATCTCACTACGCTTCCACACATGGTAAAGTACAGTCTAAAGTAGGACATGTTTAAACGAAACTTTTGGATTGCAATTATAAGCCAAGCCTAAAATAATATTAAAAAAATTCCCATTATAAATATAATTTTATGATTAAATAAGTGTCCATTAAAATTAAAGCCATTTTATTTAAATCAAAAGTTGACCTCCCACCATCCCCCCCCACAAAACAAATGCCGACCTCAGTAGCTTAGCCCAAAGATGGCAATAACTTAAATAACCAACAATGAACATTTTTTAAACATAAAATTAATCACATTGGAATCCCACTATAAATTACCAATTGCCCATTGGAGTCCATATAATAATCGCAAAGCGTTAATTGCAGAGTCGCGTTATATCTGGGTTTTTGTACAATTAGGCCCTAATGTGCGAATAGCGTTGCCATTTTTATTTTTCAAAGTCGGAATATAAGCGATTTTGTAATATTTTTTTTAAAAAACCTCTTACGTAAGAAGGATTCCCTAGCACCATTTTTAAAATTAAAAGCACCCAACAAGTTGCTATCGTAATAAGATGAGGAAAATCATCACGCAAACATATTATTTTTTTTGGTCAAGTTTTAAATACGTTTTCGTAACTAAATATTATATATTTCTATTTTCAACTTTTTAAAAGGATGACTGAAAATATAGAAAAAAAAACAATACAATTTAATTGTGAAAAAAAAAAATTATAGGAACAATGAACAATAAAGTAGTCCACACGCAATTTTTCAATAACAAATTACCACCTTCCTCGAACTCATCATGATATAAGTCAGATTTGAATCACCGTAGTGTTGCAGTTTTTAAGCCGTGATCTATAAAAATTTTAGTTGTGCGTAGTTAAAATTAAAATGGATCAATAAGTTAATAAAGTTATGTTAGTACAGTTATACATCCTCATGTCTATCCATAGTTTTGTTGTTTTAACAGCAAAGAGGTATTAACTCACCTGTTCATCAGATTTTTCACGTATTCCTGAATTGTATATTTGAAAGAGCTTTATTAAAATGGATTTATCATTAATTAAATATTATTGTTTCATCATTATAACTATCCTAATTAAGTAGAGTGACTTATTACAATATTATTAATTCATCTATGCTCTGGAGACATTTGTTAGTGAATGTTACCACCTCTCCCACAGATCACATTACTTTTAAACAAATTAAAAACAGAAAACCACCAGACCATGTCATCATCAATAAAATCTTTATTTCTATTTTACACAGGCAAATAATTAAGTTTATGAAACAGCTTAATTTTGACTGTTTATATTTTAAAAAAACAATGTATTTTCATTTCATGACTTCTTACCAGTTGTTGGTATAGAAAAGCTTGATGCACTATTTGTACATTAATGGTTACCGGAAATTTGATCGCAAGAAATTTCATAGACGGAAAATAGATAGACGGAAATTTGATCGAACAGAATTGTGATCAAATGAAAATTTAGTCGAAACTTTTTTTCAGTTCATGCGTTACAATTTTCGTCACATTTCTTTTTGAACGCACTATACTATATAGTAAAACAAAATAATGCATTCAAAAAGAAATTTGAAGCAAAATTTTAATGTAAAAACTGAAAAATAGATTTGACCAAATTTCCGTTTGATCAAATTAACGTCGACGAAATTCCTTTGGATCAAAGTTCCAGATACGATACATAAATATCTCAATTGAGTCAATAATTTGATTTTTTGAATCACTGATGCATATTGTTTTGTCAGAAAAGTGTTTTTTTCAAGTAGATTCAGAGGATTTAAATTTTAAAAATAATTCAGTTATGTTATAATTAAATTGTACCATGACTACAGCAAAATGTCTTGCGCTTGTGTTGAGCAGCAGTCAGATCAATGCACAAACCTTATGTTGTAATAATACACATATGTAATAGTCAGTCAATGCACAAACCTTGTTTTCTACCAACATATAACAGTCAATGTACAAAACTATTGTTCTACCTCTCAATGCACAAACAATGTGTTGTACCACTCAATGCACTAACATTGTGTCGTATCACTCAATGCAAAATCTTTTTGCTGTACCATTCGGTGCACAAACCGCATTGGGGAAAATTGTACGGGAGGCCACAAAAAAAAATGCATTTTGTCATTAAAAGATGTCCACTAGTTAGAGATACTAAAAATATCTAAAGCTATAATGATTTGAACAGAGAGTAATGGCTGAATCCAATAAGAACAAGCTATCAACTGTCTGTGAACATATACAGACAACCTAGATCACTGTTATATTGATTGCCTCAAGTACTCAAGAAATTAAATGCACACAGCAGGTAGAGATTCTAAAAATGTACACATTTTTGTCCAATCAAAGGACAATAAAAACTCATTTAGAAACTTTGTATATTCAAAGTTTTGATTAGACCGATTTAATAATCCCATCTCCTAACATTAATGGCAGAGAATTTCTTTGAGGCAACAGAGATGAATAATTGAATTGCAACTGAAATTTACAATCAAAATGTAAATAATGACTACATTCTCTGATCAATAAATAGGAGAGTAAAATCTTCAGGATAATAATTAATATATGGTCCAGGGATAGACAATAATGGATGGAGAATTCGTACAAACCAAGAGATATATCAAATGTTTGAAGAACTACCCATAGTCGCAGCAATTAAAAAAGGCAGGCTGCGCTGGACAGGACATTTGGAGGGGATGCTGAAAAGTAGAGCAGCAAAAGTGATCTTAGGCAGAAACCTTGGGGCAGACGGCTCAATGGTCGACCAAGATTGAGATAGATTAAGGATGTAGAGAAGGACTTACATCAGCTGGGGGACCAGGCATGGAGGCGGAAAGCCATAGATCAATCAAATGGAAGAAGGTGGTGGAGCAAGTGGACTAGTGCCACTGATGATGATGACTACATTATAATTATATTAAAATTTTCTGAATTATTGTAACATAGGTCAAGTGTTTTTACTCATGGTGTAAATTTCTTTGAAAATTTCTTAAGACATAAATAGTGGTTCTAGATGACTTCATTAGTGGCCATCCTGAGGAATAAACAAACCTTGTGAACAACTACGGAAAGTCACTTGTGAATGAATGTGGAAAGGAAAGTCAAAGCATAGAGTGCAAACCTCAACATGCTGAAAGCTTAAGTTAAATATCCTGGGAGTATTTTTTATTACAAAACTATCTTTCCACAGTCCCAGAATGTTTCAGAATCAATAAAAAATAAACATTGTCCTTGTGTGGAAGTGCCATTCAACAATTCAAGTATTGTCTGATTGATAACGTCAGTCTGGGGATAACAGAATAATGTTGGTAAATGAAGAATATATATATATATCGAACGAGAAAGGTGTACTAATAGCTGAAAGTCAATCTATTTTAAAAATTAAATGAGTGTAAGAAAAGGACAGTGAGATATAAATTGTATGTAGCCACTTATAATATTTGGACCCCATAACCATACTGATATAAAGGAAATTGAATTGAAACCATTTATAATTATAGTGAGTAAAACAGCAAAAAGAGAACTAAAAGCTGCTGTTTATTCTTTAAAATTCTATTTCTATAGGACAAGGACATGCTTTTTAAATAAAATTATGTTTAAGGTCTCAAAAAATTTTCTGCAAAACTATTTTCTCACTCTTTCTTAAAACGTTCCCCTTTTATCATTGTGAAATATAAGATAAAACTTAATTTGTTACATTTAATGAACTAGCTATTGATAAAAAATATATATAATTAAATTTTCTGTTTATTTAAAATGTTTCTTCTCAAATTGCGTTACAATGTTTATGAATTTTATAGAAAATTGCCTTTTAATTTAGTCAAATTTTTAGACAGAAAAACAATAGCGTGCATTGAAATTGAAGTAAACATCAATTTAAATTATAAAAAAGATTTCTTTTTATTATGTATCTAAGTATAATGTCACAAAAACTTTTAAGATCAGGGGTGTCTATCCCTACCAACCTCAAGTAGTGGAAACAACCCATCCCCCTACTCTCCTAGACCTTGGAGTTGGTAAATTTTGTACTGTCATTGTATTGGTGTTTAATTAGGAAATTTTCTATGGATATTAGTAATACAAAAATTTTAGTTACAAAATTGTTAGAATATTTTTTACTACAGATATTCAATAATAATATTGATAAAAAACTATTTCACACTTTCAGCAAATTAAATTATCAAATCCTGTGATAACTACAAAAAAGGAATTTTAGTTAGCCTAAAATGTCAATTTTGGTTTAATTTCTTAATTTTTTTTTATTGTTTGGAAGGTCTGTGTGTCTGTGCTGTCAAAACACTGTGTCATTCCAGTCTCATAGTTGGAGTCCAAATGCCACACCTAAGGCTGGCATTTATTATAGATTTTTTTTCTCCTTTAAAAAAATCCCCCCCCCCCTCCCCACCCCCAAAAAATATTAAGCATTGTAGTTTTTTTTTGCATGTTAATTTTGTAACCAGAGAAATTCAAAAGTCAGAAAAGGGGGAAGGGGGGGATTTCCCCACACCTTAACTTAGATTGGATGCAACTAGTTCCTTCCAAACACCCCCCCCCCCCCACCCCCCCCCCAACACCTTTATGTTTAAGATCATATTGCCATTCCTTATACCTACTTAGAAGAACCACTCTGACAATTTATCCCTGTAGGTATCAAATTTAACTTTACTGGCATCTACCTGATTTTTTTATCCTTGTAAACTTTAAAACAAATAAATGTTCACGACCAGCTCTTCGTTTCCCAACCATTGTCATTTGAAAGCCTTGCCTTGACATGTATTTCTCAATGTCAGCTAAAAAAAATAAAAACATAATTTTTTTTGTAGAAATATAAGAAGAAAAAGAATTATATAAATAATTAAATAACAAAATAAAGTCAATAACCCCATTGGAAATGAATCACTTTGATAATTATAATTAACTTATTTTAAAATATAAGATGTTTAAAATTAATAAATAAAGACATGAGTGTACACTACACTACCAGACCACAAACAGAAACATTTAATCGCTAAAAAACATACAATTACAAATTGATTCATCAATAAAAGCTTGATGCTAATACCTGGATCATTTTCCTCAATACCTACTAAGTAAAATACTCCCTTGGGTGATAGAAGTTTGTTTATTTTAGGTAAAAATCTGTCAACAACTTCTCTTCCTCTGATGCCACCAGCCCATGATGCAGAGATACCCTTGGTGGCTACCTTGGAAATGTTAACATAATTCTGTCAGACATCCTACTAAGAGTAATACAAAATTGTGAATTTCAAAACACAATTTGGATAAGATCGGCAGACCAGCAATTAATAAACAATTCCTCTGTCTCTGGTCGACTAAACGGAGAAAACTAAAAAAAAAAAGATCAATATTGGTATTGAGAACCAGAGAGGAATGGGGGTGTAGATCTATTCCACCTTGTCTTTCCCACTGAACGGTTTACCAAAAAACTGATATAAGGCACACTTAAATATTCTCACACCAAAGAAAGAGTTTGTTATTGAATGTTTTAAAAATTACCTCTTCTGAAGGAGTAACAACATAAGGAGGGTTAAAGATCAATACATCAACATTTCCTTCAAGTCTGCTTTCAACTCCATTTGCCTGCAAGCCAACAAAAGTAAAACATTCTTTTAATTTTTAAGCAATACCTAAAACTGAAGCATCAATGAACTTGGTATTGTTTCATTTAACGAAACAAAATCATGTAAATTACTCATGTTTTTGTGTTAAACCAAAGCATTAACTTCAGAGTCAGAGATACAAAATAGCATGAAGGAACTAGGTGGGAAAAGTTATTTCTCTCTAAAAAGCAAAGAGAATAAATGTACGCTAATTATTTTAAAAAAATTAAAATTACAATGATACCCTAATGCACCAATATTAATCTTAACAATCAAAACTACTGGTAAGTCCAAGCAAAATTTTACAACTCACCAAATCACAAACAATGGGGTGAATATTCTGACCATTCTTGCATCCTGTATGGAATGCCATCTCTGCAGCCAGGGGGTTAACATCGGTGCAGCTAATGGCAATAACAGATTTAAAAAGGACTTTATAAATTTCTCTCAGCACCAATAGTAAAAGAAACCGCACTCTTCTAAAATTCACAATCTGATTTCTAATGATGTTATCATCGAAGGAGTTTCAAGGTTGAGAATCCAAACTTATATTCCGTTTGTCTATTACTTAACAGTAACAGTCAATCAGTATTGTATGGCAAGATCAGTCCGACTTAGCATGACTCAAAAAGTTTTGAATATTTTAAGATTAATTCAAAGTTCCTTTATTCTATAAACTATTTTAAGAAAAAGCATGTTTTCTCCCAAAAAACCCCACAAAAAACTCTATAATCATAATCTGAGCACCACTGTATTATGAGTACTCTTATCTTCACTTAATAATACTGACAATTAATTGAAGTCATTTCCACTGTATAGTAGGAGAAATGAATGCAATAAACTTTTTGCAAAAAAATTATTTTTTTTAAAGTGATTTTTTTTAAAGGTCACTTAGCTCCCTGGTGCAGACAGACATTAAATATATATAGATAAGATTCACTTGTCTAATTTTGGAGGGTGTCTTTTTAAATAGCTTAATTTGAATGTTTCAAAGTGTGCTACTTGATAGACGGTTAAGTTAATGCTGAAGATAATTTGTTGTTACCTTCTATACCACAATGCATAGCAAAAAATTAGTTAGTTCCTTACAAAAATAATGCAGACTTTTCCAAAATCTGGGACAAGAACGTGATGCAGATTCCTGAGCCACAACCAACTTCTAGGCAAATACTGGGCCTTAAAATAGAAATAATAGAACATACAATTTTGAAAATTAACTGAAAAAATTAGTTAAACTCAGGGCACACAACTGACCTCTTAAAAGGCTAACTGAAATAAAACCCAAACAGACTCAAATATAGTTTCACCTTGAACTTGAATGGCTTTCTAATTACTGAACTTTATACTGATTTTTAATAGAATAAGTGTGTGTGACATTATGTAAGCCTAACATTACATTAGGCTGAATCAGGGGGTCTCCAAATTTTTTTCACGGCGGGCCGGATAAAGGAAAAAAATGACGAGCGCTGGCAGGATAATCATTCTGTACAATACTTGCAAGCCAGAACAAAAGCTCTGGAAAAAAAAAGTGAAAAACTAAGTTTAGTGTTCCATGTTAATCATGGGTGAGTGGCACGCAATGCACAAAAAAACAAAGACAACTAACATATTTATTTTCTAAAAAAGTTATCAAATAAGACGACAGAAAAAGATAGTTACATCAGACGTAGTGCGCACATATTCGAATATCACAAACTAAGCAGCAAAAAAGGTTAGCGAGATTAATGAAAATCACGTTTGGCCTTCAAGATTTCTTCAATATTTAGTTTCGAATTGCTGCATCCAATCAAGAGAATTGTTTTCAAATGCTTATCAGTCACTCTGGTTCGATGTGTTGACTTCACATACTTCATTTTTGAAAATGTTTGCTAAGACATAAGTTGTTCCAAACACTGATGCCAGTTCTTCAGTTTCAGAAACTCAACATCAGGTTAGCAGCGGTGAAATCCAACAAATGTTCCTTTTCTGTGGGTAAACATACGTTTTATCAAGCAAATTCAAGTACCGTCGGCGGGCCGGATGAAATGGCCTGTTGGGCCAGATCCGGCCCGCAGGCCGTAGTTTGGAGACCCCTAGGCTGGATGATCAGTTAAAAGAAATATTTTTGCCTATGCCAAAAAAAAAATGCCTATGGGCATTGGATGGCTTGGTGATTCTATGGACACTATGGCTATGGTCAGTTTTAGTATGAAAAGGAAATTAAGAATAGCTCAAACTCTAATTATACTCTTATTTCATTGTAAAACTACTTTTTGAAAGTATTTCTAACTAGGCTATATAATCAATGTTATTTTAATGATTAATTTAAGTGTTGTATTGTATGCAATGTCATGGTTTTATTTAGTTGATTTGTTAGTTGACTTGTTGATCTATCTTATTATTCTTGGAGAGACTTTATTGCGAAATAGTAAGAGTAAAATCATAGGTTGACACATATTTAAAACAGAGTATTAAAAGTTAAATAGCACTTCTAAACAGTGGTTTGTATTCAAGTATTAATCATCATAGTAATGAAAGAAATCCTCTGTCTATCCATTCTGGATGTTGTATCAATCGTTTTCAATCTCTATATTTTCTAGGGACATTGTATAAATCTTGGATTTTAACTCAGGTCTTCAAACTTTTCTTGCAGTGTCAGATTTAAAAACAAAAATTGAAAATCTCAATATTATGATAATTATTATTATGAGGATATTCCCTATAACAGCATATGCTAATTTCTAATTGTCTGTAAGGATGCCATAGGGTTTGTCATTTCTCAGACCGGAAAACATCATAGCGCACTACGCAATGTTACTATTTATAGAACGCCGGCCAAACAAATCTTAAAACATCTTTGTTAGTCTCATCAGGGTGATTCTTTCTGTTTTTTTTGAAAAACATTTCACCTGCAGATAAAATAAAATGACTTATACTTATAAAACCTGAAGATTTATCTACATGAAAGTATTAAAATTACTGTCAGTTTGTAGTCAGACTTACACCAGATCACCACATTATTACTGTATAAATTATAATATGAATGGGGTAGGGATAGCCTACTATCTATTAAGTTTAAGCAGATGTCACTGGAATAGTAAATAATCTCTGAGACTATATCATCCCTAATTAAATTAAAAATTTAATAATTTTTCAAATTGTTAATGTTAAGAAATTGAAAATTGAAATAAACTCGTCTAAAGCTGAGGTATAGTATTGGATCTAGAAACTTTTCTGTGGGACCTTGTCCACCAACAAAATGTTTACTGCATACATAAATGTGTTTAGATAGACTGTGGACGAAAAAAACTACTCTGCTACAGGCGTGAACCCATATTTCAATTTAACATTTTTCTAAATCTTTGTGTGTTTTAGGAAATGAATAAAACCCAGCACCCTGCATGTGCCGACAATCCTTGTATCTAGAGCAGTGGTTCTCAACCTTCTTAATGATGTGACCCATTAATACATTTCCTCTTGTTGTGGCGACCCCTAACCACAAAATTATTTTTGTTGCTGCTTCATAACTGTAGAGTAGATATGTTTTCCGATGGTCTTAGGCGACCTCCCTGAAAGGGTTGTTGGACACCCAACAGGGTAGCGACCCACAGGTTGAGAACCGCTGATCTAGAGTCACTGTTACATGTGCCATACGTGCAATGAAGTCCCATTTCACAAAATGTATATCCTTGAATATAGCAAAAGCAGTAAAAAAAATGTGTAAAATATTTAATAAAATATATTTGTAAACAAAATTTTCATTTACTTTAAGGGCCACTTCGCTAACATACCAGTAATGAACAGTGTTGACATTATGTCCGACCTGAGTACCCGGATGATTACAGCAGTTATATTAATACATTTCCGCCATTAAGTGACAAGCGCTATTCAACTACAGTAGAAACTGATTATCTAAACATTACTTATCTAGAGATTTTGCTATTGGAATTTGTAGAATGTACATTTTTTCCAGGTCAAAGGCAGACATTAAAATAAACATGTCACAACACTCAGAGCTGTCACATAAATTTTGGAGGCCCCCTGCCATTTTTTTAGTTTGTGCCCCCTGCATTCAAAGTTAATGGTTACATTTTTTTCCAAATTATATCTTTGGGCCGCTTTAAATATCAGAGGTCGTCTAGAGCTGCACGGCCCACAGGATTGCTCTGACTGCTTGATATTAAGACTCAAAGCATTTAAAAACAACTACAGTTATTATTTATAATATGGTATTTCCTTGATTATATATTTTTTTATTATGTGGACTTGACTGGTTTAAATAGTCTGGATAATAGAGTTACCACAATACTTAAAGAGACCCAGAACTAAGCAGCAAGTTGGGGACTTCTTGCCTAAAGAGAGGGGGAACACACATGAGTGTATATGAGTGTACCTTGGACTCTAAGATAATGAAAGTCTCTTCTGAATTAAAGAAAATGGGAATTTAATTTTCATAATAAAAGTAACTTTGTGTCATTTCTTTTAATCCACGAAATTCATTGCCTGTTGATTTAAAAATAAAGGTGGTTTATAAACAAAAAGAAAATGAGTAGATTTTTTCTTTTAAATGCGACCTTACATAAGCTCTTGCAAATAAAAATGTTCATTCTCAAGAGCATCCAGCAATAGAAAGGAATCTTCTGCTGGCTCATAGACATGGTCAAAATCCTCTGAATTTCTGTTACCAATAACTGGTGTGGAAAATTTGCTTGCACTATTGATGCTCATATTGTCATCTTAAAGACTATCTCTGTGAACAATAAATTTAAAAAAATTATGTTTGTAATTATAAAGTTATAGAACACATGTGTCATAGGCAGACTAATTTACTAGGCTTTCTTATTTAATTTCTGAACTATAACTATGAACTGATTTTTAATTAATAGTATTAATTAATAATGATAGTCTACTTTTAAGTCTAAGTGTATATGTGAGAACATGTATGCCTAACATTAGTTAGATGAGGCTAGATGATTAGTTGAAAGAAAACTTTTGGCCTATGCCAAAAAAAATGCCTCTATTATTTTATAGTTTATAGTTGGGGTATGAGTAGTATGACTATTATTATATGGCCCATGGTATGTAGATTACCACCATGTCTACAGACAAGTAGGGCCTACTAGGCTTACAAGTTACAATTTAAATATAAAAACTGAAACCCTACCAACATGTCCATACAATATAATAAAACGGCTAATACTAATGTGAAGAGATAGCACCCTGACGTCATTTGCGTGTTTTGTCCCTGGTTATGTAAGGTCAGTAATGGATAAGTGACAATTCAATAAGTGTAGTTTAAGTTTAGTTTAGGCTTAGGGTTTACTTTTACTTTTATGTTTACGTCTAGGCAGGGATATATTTAGGGTTCACGTTAGGTTTAGGGATAGATTTAGGACATAAGTTCGCGGCGACCGCTGTACTATCACTTCACATTTACCAAAAAATAAAAGCATCAAGAGTAAAAAAAAAATACACAAACTGTTACTGTTAATAATACTAACACTCATACTTGAGTCATACTATCATGTCCATGTACCCATCATGTGTACAAAACTACAGTCAGCAGCAGTATAAAACTCGAAGTTCGACAACTGGTTTACCAGGGTCGGTCCACTTAACGACTCACACCGTGCCCGATTTCTAAGATAAAAGTCGATAATTTGATGATGGTGATATTATATTGTGTTAGTCGGGACTTGTTCAGACTGTGAATGTGCAGATGATACCGATCCTCACAATTTACAATGCATTAAATAGTAATGTGATTTTAATTTAACAACAGATCTAACTTCCTAATTAAGAATCTCCAGATCAGCTGAGCATATTGCGAGAATGCAAAACGACATTTCCAGACGACCTAAGCCCTGAACAACTAATTCGACTAATGAAAGGTGAACCACGGTAGTAGGAAGAGGGGGTGAAGGGGGCGTCTGCCACGGGCGGCATTTTGGTCAACTTCATATACTGTATTATACTACATATAGATTGTTCTGTATATGTATTCTACATACTGTACCTGTAAGCATTGTGGTTTTCGTTAACAAGGCCAGGGGTCGACAAAATCAAGGACAGCCCGGGGACTCACAAATTAGCTACTTTACTGCAGTGAAATAAGCAAGGAGTAACACTCAGAAAACGTTTCAAACATTGCCTAAAAAGGTCATTAAATCAAGGACTAATACCAGAACTCATGGGAACCCTTGCTTTGCATCGCACAATCTGGAGAGGTAGACTCACTGTGGGAGCACACCCTTCAAGGGGTGAACACACAGCTCTATGTCACATTCAAAGAAAAGTCCAAAGAAAAAGCAATCAAGAAAAACATTTCACTGCGCCCTATCAGGGAGCCGATGGCAAAATGGCACACATTCTCATTCTGGAAACTGAGAGAAAACCTATGATACATTTTAGACACAATGTAGGCCTACTTGGATTTTATAATTGTCTATAATTTTTGTTTTAATGGTGGGGGGGGGTTAGTTGGGGGTTAGTTGGGATGTGAAATCAAATTTGTAAGTTCGCAGAGCGGTGTCCAAAAAGGTTTGTATGCAACAGGGGGAGTGCTATTGCGTTAGCTAAAGCTATAGTGTTTGGAACCCATGCAAAAGATTTATTTTTATTTTGACGTCTCTTCCCCCCCCCCCGCCCACACACACACTTTTTTTCAAATCTAAAACTCATAATAATCATCAACATCTCATCTCCATCGCCTTTATTATTCTTTCAAGTTCTGCTGTTAATACCCAGGGCGACTCATAGGCATATAAGAAAATGGAAAGGACTAAAGAGCGCATCAGCTTCATTTTGGTGCTGGGAGCTATATTTTTGTCGTTCCATATTTTCTTAAGCCTCTTGAGTGCTATTGTGGTCTGGGCAATCCTGGACATCAATTTCAAATGAAAGCCTACTGATAACATTATTAATTCAATACCGGTATTTATTCACAACTCTATCAGCGTTTACGCTGCGCAAATTACACACGTTAACAGATTCCACCCATTATATTTTTATATAATTTGAATTTTACTTGTAAATGCAGTAACCAGGCTTCCTAATTATGCACTACAAAGTCATCAAAAGTAGCCCCAAAACTGAGTAAATGCTAATGAAAATTACAAAAAAATTTCAATCACCATTGCCACGGCCGCCAAATACCTTAGGTAAAACCCTGCCCAGGGGTGCAAGAAGGCATTTCGAGCAGTGTAATGATAGGAGATTAAAAAACAGAGGAGACCTTAGCCTTTAAATTTTGATGTAAATGTTTATGCATTTTTAAACATTTCTTCTTTACCATTTTTCTTTGTGTAATAAATCATACGTTTATTTTTAAAAATAAATTATACAGTTCTCTTTGCAAGTCAATAAATAAATAAGTAGTCTATTATTTTCAAATTTTAAAATATTTCTATTACTTTTGTCGTGCTGTGACACTTAGTCTTAGTAAAAAAAATCGTAGGGCGTGCGAAACTATTTAAATAAAGCACTTGAGATAAAGAGTATTAAAAAGGCTGGCAAACACTGCTGTAGGATATTCGTTAAAGTTTTTTTTTAAAAATAAGAACAAAACAAATAGCCTATCTTTTGAAACGTAACAAAATGAGAAATATATGCATTTGACTTAACATTTTGCTCGCTTTACACTTGTATAATGCGCAACAGGGTCATGAAGCTGATATAGATTGACAAAAATGTAGGCCCTACTTATTATAATTTCAATACGTCATATGTCCTATACGTCAGTCCAAATTACGATTTTCTGTACATAATATGGCTATTTGGAATATTTTGTCCGTACATTTTATGTATATGAGTTGAATTGGAAACACTGCCTAATTGGGTGGAACACGTTCTCGTTTTCTTTAGTTTAGATAATTACCGCAATTGTAAACAAGGGCGTCTACACGGAGAATGGGGGGGGGGGGGGTTTCTTTCCGTTTCCCCCCCCGGGTAAAAAAAAAAAATTTGAGAAAAAAAAATTTTTTTTAAAATTAAAAAAAAAAATAAAAAAAAAAAAAGGGGGGGGGGGGGAGCTGCTTCCAGATCCCCCTCCCGAGTAAAAAAAAATAATTTGGGAAAAAAACATTTTTTTGAAAATTACAAATAAAAATTAAAAAAAAAAACAACATTTGGCAATATGACACATTACAAGGTCAAAGGGGGGGGGGGAATACTCTTTCCTTAGACCAGGCGTTGCTTGTCTGGGCTATGTTGGGAATGGCCCGTTGGAATTGGCACTTTTTCACTTTTTTACATATTTTTTAATAGGTACATTTCATTTTTATGCTAATTAATTAACAATCGTGTCACTAAAAAAATAATTAAATTATCCAAAATATTTCAAGTCACTACAATGGCAGTATTTCCCACGATTTCATGCCAATTAATTGACCAGTCTTGCATTCCTCACCTTCAAAAAAAATATTTTTTTAAATTAAATCTCGAATCCATAAAAAAGGTAACAATGACAATGTATTCTAAATAATGAATGATGCAGTGGGCTCTAATTTATTTATTTAATTGCAAAGAGAGCCACAGAACTTAGAAAAATAAACGTGTGACTCAGTGAGTGTGACTTTTCGTTGTCATACAGGAACATGTTGATGAGAAAATTATTTTAAAAAATAAACATTTATATCATAACTCTCAAGCTAATGTCTCCTCTGTTCTTATAATTTTTTTTTTTCTTCTCACACTCACACCCATACACTTACACCCATGAAACACCACTTTGCAACCCTTGAAGCATTGAAGCACCTAGGATTGGAAACCCCGCACTAAGGGAAAGTACTACAAAATTGCAAATTTTTAGTGTTGACCTTCACATATTCCTGGCTATATTTTCGACGAACAAACATGTCTTCTAGATTGTCATTAATTGCGTTGCGACCATCAATTTTCAGGATTATCGGGTACCATTTGAATACTTGACAATATATTATATTAATTTAAAAATAGAGTCACAAGAATATTCGATTGATGTGACGCTGTTTGGTAAAATCCGGCGACATGATACGCCACACAGCTCCAATCATACTCTGAGCATGACATGGCATCATTGAATCTATGATTGAATTAATACTATGATACACATGGACGTGAATCTATTATTGATACTGGCATTAGCCTGCTACTACACTTCGTAACATAGATTATGTTACAAAAATAATTAAGAAACGCAATTTCGATCATGCTGAATAGACTGTTTTAAAGGCGTTCACTGTCGCTATTAATAGATTAATAATTAATTTTAATAAGTAATTACTAATTAAAATTAGTAGGCTTAGTTAGGCCCAACACTTTTTTAAATTGTAAGAGTAAGATCACTTCTTCACTAATTGATGCCGATGGTAAGCTGGTCTTTAGCCCTAGACCAATTTAGTTTGAGTTTTAACATGCCTATTTCGCCTTCAACCTTTTTGGTTTATAAGTTAGGGCAGACCTGCACAACATACGGCCCGCCGCATGCACAACATACGGCCCGCCGCATGCACAACATACGGCCCGCCGCATGCGGCCTGCGAAGTAACGAAATATTCTTTATTCTTATTATTTTCTTAATGTCCCACACAAGTCCTGTCCTATTTTATTTTGGCCGGCACAAGTTTTTCATGAAGTATTATGGCCCGCCTTACATTTTGAGTTGTGCAGGCCTGATTTAGGCCCTGCCCCAACTATTTGTTGAATTTGAATGTTTTTTTTACAATTTACCTAGTCAGCTTTTTATTAGGCCCATGTCAGTGAGTCATGTACCATTCTATAATTGTAGGCTGTGACTGTAGGCTGTAGGCATAGGTCTGCTTCTGTTTAGATTTTCCACTTCAAAGACTTTAAATATGCAGAGGCATAGAGTAATGTCCTACACAGTCACACACAGAGCAGGCAATCTAACTAGTGTACCTTACTCCCTAGTACATTTGGTCATTGCTTGAGATGACTTGAAATCTAAAAGAAGCAATTTTTGCTACCATTTGCACTAGCTACAGAAGTTCATACATAGTACTATAAGTACATAACCTACTGTATAAGCACCTTTATTAATTTGGGATATCCAAAGCTGCACCCAAAAATTGTATGCAGTATACATTTAATTCTAAGATAACAATTACATAATTTCTGTTATTTTTTTGCAGAGCCCGTGCAATGACTTCTGGTCAACTTGGAGATGGTGTTGGAAAGGTGGGATTGCATCAGTTTTTGCTGATTATAATCAGTGGTATGGTCAGAGTTAATGCCACTTGGGGCGGGCCAAGCTTTTTGCCATGTAACTTTCAAGAATAAAAACACCTGAAGTTGGGCAAAAATTTCCCTCCTCAATGTAAAGAAAAACGGTGCTGCCCTGGGCGGACCACCCCCTTCGCCTTCCTATGCCACTGAATATAGTTATTCTTTCTTCACAAATTTCGAATCAACTTTAAAAAAATGAATTTACATGCTTTTTAAAAAGAAACTTTATAGATTTATTTTTCAAGTCCAAGTTAGCTTTAAAAGAAGTCATTTAAAAAAAACTTTTTTTGTGTGTGTTAAAATGTAAGTTGTCAGTCAGTAGAGCAGTGCTCTCCATGTTGGTGACACCCTATACGGGTGTGTGTGTGTGTTAAACTAACCCTAAAGTGTAATAAGTTAATAACAATGTCAAATGGTCCACAATTAGGGAGTACTTAGAGGTTTGGGAATACTTTTTCAAATTTCTTCTTTCACTTTCCATTTCCAAATCACTATCTTTTTTTTCAGGTCACAAAGCACACATTACTGCTCACTGCCATTAATTTCACCTTTTCCTAGCATGCTGATGTTTATTTTATTTGAATATTCAAATACGTTTGCAAGTTAAAAAAATGCTAATTTTATTTTTTGTATTGGATCACAAAATTTAATTTGCTTATTTACCTAAACAATCTAAGCATCACTGACCTCAAATTCATAGCCTATTAACAAGCAGTGAGCACCCAACCTCATGAGAGCCAACAAATTTCTGTTAGTGGTATCAGCTTTTTAAATTTTGACCCTATTTCTTTACAAATACTTGCAAATAGTCTTCTTTGAAGAGATCTCCTTTTCTTACTTTTAATGTATGGTAAATTACAATTTGCACCACTGTATCAATAACCTTTCCTTATTCATTTCCTTTTTTTTTTAAAAATTCTAAAAACATGTTATATGTTGCTATGGCTTATTTTTGCATGACACTCTTACACCTGCAGGCAACACACTACTGTGTCACAACACACAAATTGGAGCCCTGCAATATAGTAACATGATTATGAATAATATATGAAATTAAAAGTAAACAGAAAAACTTACTGTTTTTAAACTGTTGATTTTCAAAATTTTAAAGATTTCAGACCTATATTTTAAACTCGATATCTGTCCTTTTCATATTTTGCCATGCCATTTCATTTTAGTCACAGTCACAGGAATAAGAGAATTTTAAAATTAAAAGTTCATTAATTGTTTAGAAATGACAAAGCACTACTTCTAAACAAGATAATAATCACAGTTTGTTTATCACATCAATTTATTATGGTCCGAAAGTTGAGTATTGAAAAACCCATAATCATATCATAACTACTGTACCATACATGCACTCCAGTATGGACAGATGACTACCCTAATGGGATTTGATAACAAGTCGTTAGGGGAAGCCATCAGAAATGTAATTAAAAATTTGGCAAATTCATCTATTTTTGTAAATGACTCAGTGTAAATTGGCCAACCATAAATGATTTCAAACTATTTTTGGATCCCTCCCCCATTGTCAAAAATTTGACACGTAATAGATATAAAAAATTCTTTACCCCCTTCCCCCCAAGATGCGTGATGCCATTTATGGATAGCTTCAGAGGTGAGAATGAGGTTACCAGTAAATATCTGAATGTTTATTTTAATTATAAGAAATACATTTTTTTTTCATACTTCAGAATTTCTATTATTTATTTTTTTCTATTATTTTTAGTACAGTAAACAGAATGATAGAATTAATTCATTATATTGTATTGTCCTAAAAAAATTATGACAAATCCCATTATCTTTCGAAATCCCCACTAGCTACTTATATAACCTAAGGTAAAAAAATATGTTTTTAAACCTACATTAATTAAAATAAAGTATATTATTACCAACTTGTAACTATTATTAACAAGAGTGTAACAATTTTTTTGCAGGGTGGTGGTAGTGGAGGAGCTGTGAGGTAGGTTTCCTAAGCTAAAATAATTTATTGAAAGTTATTGAAAGGTAATAAAAAAAAGTTGGTGAAAGCAATGCTTTATATCATACTATTACGGTACTAATAGTACAATAATACATCTTAGCTGTGATTACGTTTATTTCAGATTTCTTTGGGGGGGGGGGGGTGGTTTGGTTTGGGGGCTTGTGGTCTCAGCTTACAAAAAGTTCGGTAGAACATGGTTATGTCGACGGCTAGGGGTTTGCCAAAAAGCGTTGAGATAATCGATGATCGACATAAACAAAAAATTAATATGTTGGCAATTTATTAACGTGTTTGAAATTTCTTTATGTACATGATATGCGTTAATAAATGTAGGTACTTCAGTAAAAAAAAGTAATAAATTTGCTTAAAAATAACAGTTATTTAGAGCAATTTTCAAATTAAAAAAATGAAACCAGATTAACTATTTAGCTTTAGTACTTTTTGAGCTACGAATTTTTAAAATACGAGTTCGTTTGGTATTTACTACTATGAATGAAGCCTCCACATTTTGTGACCTCATTCTGCTGATCGCTTCATGTGCAATGACTATATAGTTTATATAAGTATAAGGCAACGCATCCCCTTATTAGTAAAATAATATTTAGGGATTACTTATTTTTAACTTTCAACTTTGGCACATGGCTATTTAATTAAAGCTTTCCCTGACCAATGATTTAATAGTTTTTGCACACAGCAAACTGTTATGAATGGAACGCTGAAGTAATACCATGGCATAGCCATTATGCAAGTAACCGTGAATGGCTGCCCATAACAACGTTTTGCACTCTGCAAATTATGATAATTTATAATATGGACTCTACCAGGTTTTTAAAGCTGAAATTAATTTAAATTACTTCGAAATTCATTCTAAAACATAAGTCCTTTATTTTGAGAAATAAATAATTATTTTTAATTATGCAAAACTTGTTTATTTGTTGTTTGCTATTTCTTCTTGCGGAGTTTAGAAGCCGCCGATTAGTCATGGGGATCGAGATAACCGAGGTTAAGTGGCAAATTTGGCCCCATTTTGTGCTTGAGATATTAGGGTTCAGCAACATAAAAGAAACGACATAACTGTCACAAATGACTGGGGCGGGGGTACAGGACAGAGCTCCATTGTTGTTTAGGTAACTTATAGGATGGAAGGAAACTGCTGTTAATGGGGTTAAGTTAAGGTTAATAGACTCTCACATCTTGATATAGTGGGGGATTGTTTCTTTGGATAATAGTATGTTCGGGTTTTCCAGACTTCGCATGATAATTTCTGGGTTAACAATGGGAAGGTCTAATTGAGGGCATGGGTGTGTTTATAGATAGCATTCCTGGACCACCTATGGGGGGTAGAGAACCACATATAAGAGGGAGCTTTCACTGAGTTAAAGAAGTTGAGGGAGAGTGAACACAGGTACGAGAAGTTGAGGAAGAGGGAACAGAGGTACGACGTAGTTGAGGAAGAGAGAGAAAAGAGCTACGATAGAATCAAGCAGTTGTTAGGGAATAGTTGCTAGTGATCAGGAGACGACAGATGACTAGATAGAAGAACTTATATCTTACAAATAAACACACTTTCATTATCGTTGGACACCAGGAGTTTGAGTTGTTGCATTTCGTCCAAGTCTACGTTGTGCTTTTGTCTGTCTCAACGCCTAGACACCCACAATATAAATCACAGAGAGGAGCGGTCCTGTACTGACCACTACTAAGTCAACATAGTTTGTGTTAAGTCAGGACCGGAGCCCTCCTCCGTAACCACTGTTCTGTGACAATAACCGAGGAGAAAATGTTAAGACAAAGAGAGAATTTGGCGGTTCCACGTCAAAAACATCGCCTTAACAGGGTTGGCGAGTTAACCCAGGTTGAGATTAGCTGTTTCAACTGTAATTTCTAGAAAATAAGGAAAGAGTAGCAGACCTCAGTAACTAACGTTTTTGTGGTTCATAAAATGTTTAATAAGACATCTAAAAATAAGTCCTTATGAGTTTTTAAAAATTACAGGTAATACAAGACTGGTCTTATTTTTGATGAAACACTTTTTACGCACTGCTATCCCTAGGGAGAAATTAATCTCCTATTTAAATTTACATGTATGGCTCATTCCAAAACAGTGCATAACAAGACGATACCAAATGGTAAAAACAATAACAGAGAATACAACACTCAAAACAGTGCTAACTGCAATTAATAAGTTTTATTAAGTTACTAACAAATTACAAAATAAAAGAAACATAATTAAAATTATTAACTTACAGAGTATTGTGTTTCATGTACCGGTACAAAAGTGGATGAAAATTTTAATTTGCCAAAGGTACAACGATGAAAGGAATTCACACATATAATAAACACAGCTCTATAAAGAATAACACACTCTAAAAATAAATGCTAGCCCGTCGTCCCGTAAATAAAAAATCTTATCCTCCAAAAATAATGCTCTCTCTGCTTTTTATAGTCTGTTCGACAGAAAATTCCAGGCAATGTGTTAGTGACTCGAACATTCTACAACAATTTACTACTATTTTCTATCATATTCGAGTCAAGAAAAACAGGCAATAGATTGGTTTGTGGTAAACAAGATCAAAGGGAATAAGCCACGCCCAATACTAACGCAGCTTCTGCTAGAGTTCACAGCACGGGGGAAATGTGATGCAAACACGTTGATTACATAACCCACTGTATCTTATAGCTTACTGCTTTTAAAAATCAATTTTAATGAGCATGAAAGAGTGCATTTTAAACTTAAAATTTTAAAGTAAATTTGATGAAAGTATTAACTGCATTCTCATTTTTGAAAATTTTAAGACGAAATCATTTGTTTTGCAAGCTTTTTAAAATTTTTTATTATTATAAACCCGTTACCTTCGCCTCTTTATCAACATTGAAGTGTATAAAATTTCTGCCAATTAAGTTAAGGGACCATGTATTCCTCTGTTTTAACCCAAATCTTACTTGTTCAACTTGTATTTTTAAAAAAAAAAACGCAATAATTAAAAAAAGCTCCAGGTGGCATAAAAACAAAATTACTGGGTACTTATAGAGAAACTTATAGAAATTTTATCCTGGTATCTATTTAATCTAAATATAATGTCATTTATTTCATAGAGAGGCTGGTGGTTCCTTTGGCAAAATGGAGGTAGCCAGGGAAGAACAGTACTTTCGTCAATTGGTAAGAAGAAATTGAATTATGGATGAAATTTTTATTGTTCAAAACTGTTTAATGTTAGTAATTGTTCGTGATATATGAAAGTTTTTAAAGTTTTCAAATTAACATTTTAGTAGCAGACCTGTTTACCCTCAAACTTACCCTCAAACTCTTAAAATCGTACAATATCGTCAGGAAATCGTACAATACAGTATCTTATCTTAATAGTAAATAAACATTCAGTAAATATAACAAATAACTACTCGCATCACGCGTCTAACTGGATCGAGTTGAGCTTGCCTAAAACGTAAGGAACTGAAGATAAAAGTAGATGACACGTTTATATTGCTATCTGCTGTAACTTAGTTTTGAAGGCGTGTATCTGCTATAGATATCAATCTATAGATATCAATTAATATTTAGGTGAACGTGCAGATCAAATTATCCCAGAATGTTGCTGGTAAAAATAAAGTTACTGGTGAAATTTAACATGGTTCAAACTCGACGTCAGATCAAATGCTGCAAATGGGTGAAGGGAAAAGGGGACATTGAAAAATCACACAGCTGTTTTGCCCGTTCTAATTATAGTAATTATAGATTTAAATGGCCCTCTTGGATCCTTTAAAATATGTCGAAATCTAATATTGCTGCGCAGACCAGTTGAGAATGCATTCTCTATTTGCAAGAAATAATTGTCATTAAATTACGTCATACAGCATCCAAGCAAACGAAAACGACGAGGGGACATCTATGTAGCATGTACGCAAAAAATCCAATTTTCACCCTCCCCTCCCCTCCAACTACTTTTTACTATCTGACAATAGCTAGTGAGTTCATTTGTGAAACTACATGGCAACATTATGATAATAATTCATGCAAAACATTTCATACTTTTACAGCATTCGAGATATAAAAGTTATTTTTGGAATTTCAGAGTTTCTGGATGAATATTGTAGTTTAAAAAAAAAATAATGTACATACTTTCTACACACCCCCCACCCATTTTACAAAAATGTGGCGATATTAATTTGTATAGAATTAAATAATTAGAACACAACACCCCCCTCCATGTTACACAAAATCTCCTAAATCAACACCACTCCATTCCCCTCTCAAGGCAAACGTAATATAATTATAGACAGTGCCCAACCAATCGTATTTCTCAATCTATTCAATGCTAGATCTGGAATGCAAATGTAAGTTAAAGCTAACAACCGAAAATGAACTTAAACATTATTAATTTTTTAAAAAGAAAAAAACTATCGGAATGTGTATATTTTGAACCCGGTCTATTAAAATCGTATTTCTGACGGGTCTCTGTGTATAATCGTACAAGACATCTCAAAATCGTACATGGTACGCCAAAATCGTAAGAGTAAACAGGTCTGTAATAGCTTTAAATGGATGAAAAAAATAAAAACTTTGGAGTTGTTAAATTATGGGCATAGCAGTTAGAACTATTAACATTACATATACTGTTTGGAATACATTACATATACCTTAATAAATAGTATTAATGTAGCACTACTGCCCCTAGATAGGATCTTTTCAGAGAAAAGATTTAAAAAATGAATTTGATTGCTTATCACACACTCAAAGTCAAATTCTCTCTCTTTCACCATTGCAATCTCATCTTCAACTGCAACTTAAACCAGTTATTTTGTTTATCACTCTTTCCTGATACTTTTATTTCTATTTTTTTTTTTAAACTTACTCTTCATTTTTATTGCTTATTGATCAATAAATTAGTGGGTTTTTTTTGCATTACAAAAGCATTTCTGAATGCTTTACTTTTATGTCATATTGTACTTTATTGTGAAAAGAATATCAGTAATTTTAAAAATTGATTAGATATTAACAATTTTCTACAATAGAATTTGTTAATTGATTTGTTTCGTTCATTATATTTTAGCAAAAGGAGCAACTTGAAAAAATGAAAGATCTTTTGGAAGATGAGGTTGCGCATCATGAACGCCAAATCAGACAGCATATGGTAAGTTCATACTTGTATCAATTGATTTTTAAAAAATTGCTTATTATAATTTGAATAGATAGTTATATATAAAAATATAATTATGTAAACATTTTATAAGTATAATAAATTATTAGTTATGATGCTCTGAACATTAAATTTGTTTCTACTGATTCCCCTCCAAATTAAAAAAAAAGAAGAGAGTATAATTTTTAGCAGTTGATAAAAATTTACAACTGATTTTAAATTTCATCATAAATAAACAAAAAAAATGCAACTTCCAGTTTAAATCTTTACCAATATTTTTACAGGAAGCCATTGAGCACCACAAGAAAAAGATTGGTCGCCTAAATAAGAACACTGTTGGCAGTGATTCAGATTAAATGTAATTTTCATATTTGACCCAGACTAATTCTTGTTAGTTAATGTTTTTGAATAAAAGCAAGTACAGTATGAGCTGTAAAAAAATATATATTTTTTTTAAAGGCTTAATTGATGTCAATGGGGCATTAAAAAAAAAAAAGTACCTGAAAATTCTGTAATTTAAAAAAATATTTAAGTTTGACTTTTTGGATGCATGTTTTTCTTAATTTATTTACAAGCATAGAGAAATGTTTGCTGTATTGTTTGTGTTCAGAAGAATGATCATGTGCTTTGACTTTTAATTGTAATCCTTATTGAATAAAAATAATTTGAAACATTTTCACTTTTATTTTATTGGATGAATTAGAGTGCTAATTGTGTTCAGAAATTATAGTTACAAAATGTCATTTAAATTTTCAGGGTGAAGTTTTACAAAAGGATTTTAAAAAAAAACTTATTCCATAACATGATACATTTTCACAGATATAAAATGCTCAGTCCAAAGTGAATAGCTAACTGTTGTTTATTTTTTTCTATTATGAAAGTAAAAGCAAAACATTAATAATATATTTAAATTGAGTTATGTATGTGACATTGATGAGGTTAATGATGTAATGACACTGGACAATGGTTGTTCCAAAAGTTGTTCCTTTAAGTTGAGTATTGTTATGCCAGAATCAAGTACTTCATCTAGGAAAAAAAAATTGAATTCATTTATATCTTATTATTTTCTATTAATAAATATAAAAACAGAATGTCATTCAAATGCTGATAATTCTTGTTTTTACTTGATATTTAATAATGAGAAAATTTCTTATTTATATTTATTTTATTTTTTTGGGGGGGATTAAAAAAAAAAAGTTGGGGCTGTGATTTGGGGGGAGGGGGGTGTCCCCCCCAACCCACCCCCGTTTCATAACTGGTTTCAATTACCTTTTTATTCAAGGACATGTAAAACATCCCAAGACAAATAACAAAATCATTGTAAAAATAAAATTAATTACCTGTATTAATAACTGAAGGAGAAATTGAAATACTACAACTAGGCCTATAACTATAAATTAATAGACATGCTTTAAGTATTTTAAGACTAAGAAAAGAAAAAGTAACAGTGCCCTATTACCCATGGACTTAGTTACATCAACAGTTTCAGGAAGTAAAGACTCGATAGATGAATACACCAAGAAAATTGAAATTTCACAATTTTTCTTGGTCTTAGAAGTTGATGTCTGTTTGTCCGCAAGTGTCAAATTAATGGTGGTCATAGAATCATTTGCAGATGATGTCTTCAGGATATTTGCACAATCTTTCTGTTGTTGGGTATAGGACAACAAAAAAATCAGGTTGATATTATATTTTAATATTATGTAATAGAAGCTCATGAGAAATATTACACATAATAATTTTAAAGAAAGAAACAATTTGTACTCCATGGTTATAGACAAAGCATGAGAAGAATCTTGAGCTTTTGAAATATTTGAATATATTTTAAATAAACTGATCTTTTAACTTTTAGTTGGAGCTTTGTGCCAGTGAAGATCCCCCTGGGGCAAAACGTCTCAGGGGTGCCGCTTTGTGGCATATCCCCTCGCGTAGAGGGGAGGGATCGCAAATAAGGATTTCTGGATGGCCCACAAGAGCTTCGACTTGGACAGCTGACATCATTCCTTGTTAAAGATTTTCAGTTGGAGCTTTCAAATGATTTTTAAATAAAAACCCTGAACACAATGAGGTGTCTGAACAAGATCTAAAATGTATATCAACTTTGCCGGTGTTAATGTAGTGAAATTATTCTATATAAGATTTTTATATACATTTGTGGGGAAAAGAACAAAGAAAAGTGTGCATTTATTTATAATAAAAAAAACAGAAATGCTATGTCAAAGAATAAGCACATTTGTATACTTTATATACATAATATTTGATACGGCTTAGGAATAAAGTAAACATGTAATCAGTCTCATCTGAACCCCAATATTTATTTACAATTTACAATGATTAAAAATCATGTCAGTCTAATTAAACGATTCTAAAAACTAATAGGTATTTAATTATGTGAAGGATGACTGAAAAATATTAACTTGGCGACAATAATAAATTAGTATAAAAAGCCAGTTATTTAATTAGTTAATTTTCTGGTGAAACCCAAACCACACACACAACACCCCCCCAGAGTCATTATATCATTGGTAAATTTACCGTGACAAAGTCAAGTTCTCCTTTTCGATGGATGTAAGCATTAAGTTGGTAGCCGATGTTGTCCATGACTTGATTCAGGGGTTGACTCTTATTATTTAGCATTGTTTGTACATCTATAAAGTAGGGAATTGTTGTATTGGAGACCTGAAAAGTGAGAGTGAGACAATTTAAGATCAGCTTTTTATTATTCAAACATTTGAATATTTCCTCCTCCTTCATCAATACGTCTTTCTTCATCTTGATAACATATGTTCAATCACCACACTAAGTTCTGATAATGAAACTTTTCATTAAAAAATCAGAAAGCTCAGCATTATTTTTTTTCTTCAAATTTTCCACTTTATTGCAGGGAATAAAATGCAGTAACAAATCTTTATCTTACTAATAAAAACTTTAAAATGGTCAACATATTCTAATAATTATCTGCAATTTTTAAATAACTTTTAGTTATTTAGTTTGACACATTTGTGTCTATTGCCTTGGGCCTTCCAACCCCCAGTTCCTGATACCCTATCTAAGTAGCCCTTGCAACCAGTGAAATATCCTCATCAACACCAGGCACAGAAACATTGCAAATCCCCTCTACATGCATAGGAGCCAGAATGATCAATAGATTGATCATGGGCCCTTAACTTATAGAAGAAGAAAAAGAAGAAGATGTTGCAAACAATATGAGGAGCAATGATTCTTTATGGGTCCATCCCCTTTTATTATTAAACGATTGACCATAAATGCTTACGCTGAGTAAATAAATAAATATATTGGTGAGGTCCTAACCTTGATTTGACCATCTGAAGAATTGACCTTAAGAATATAGGATTCTGTAACGTATCTCCATGTAGAAGTAAAGCTGACCACTAAAGTGTTGGCATCTCTTTCTATAACAGTAAGACCACTTGGACCTGTTTATTGTATAAATATGTACACTGGTAAATTAATTTAGATACATTTTTATAATTTTTACGTGTATGATATCCATAATCATATGGTAATAATTGAGGAATATTTTCAAATGAAAAAATACACAATAATATAAAAAAAGTATCTCATTTTGTTACTCAAAAGCTGATTTCGTACTTTATATTGACAATTAATGTGTGAGATACTAATTTGTCATTACTCTTCAAATACCAATATTATTTTGATGAAAAAAATTACCTATGATTCTGTAAGCAGATAATTTTTCCTGGAGTATTCTTAGTGCTTTTTTAAACTCTCTCAGTTCTGAATCCTGGTAAGTTGTTATATCTTCAGGGTTATTGCTGCCTTGTCGTAACAATTGTAGCTGCTCACTTAGTGTTGCCTTTTCTCTCTTCATATTGTTAATTTGCTCTAGTTGTCTCTTAATCTGTTTCATGATCCAAAAATATAAAAACAAAAATGAAATCACACACAAAACAAATTAATCTTAATTGAATTAATCCAGTTCTCTATCCTGTTATAGTACTTTGCATTAGCTGCACGCCTGCAGCATTACTTAAGCGGAAAGTTTTAATAAAGTATATCTTGTCATCATTAAAAAACAACGAAAAAAACACCCAAAAAACAATATAAAAAGTAACTTTTAAAAAACATTTTTTTCTAAAATGAACTAAATAGTATAAAATAAAATTTCCAAAAACTTCAGAGTTGTTACAGCCACATTACTTAAAAAAGCGTGGGGTGCTTATGAAATACAATGATGTTATATGACTTTTTCTTAGGTTGCTCTGTCTGTTTGTTTATGTATGGTCAAATATTGCACCTCAATTTTGCTCCACTTTCTGATCTCCCACTGAGCTGAAACAAAGAACCTGAGTAAATGAGAATGTTGTCGCCATGAGCTCAATGTTCTTTGTTTGAACTCAATTGGAGATCAGGAAATGTGCCAAAACTGAGATGCAAGAATTTGACCAACAGATTTCATTCAAAGGTCAGTGGAGGTCACTGGTGATCTACTGATCATGAAGGGTTGTATTGTCATTGGGAGTGGGTAAGTGTACGAAGTTTAAAGCTCAATTGAAGATCAGGAAGTGGGTCCAAATTGAGTTGCAAGATTTGACCACACACAAAGAGCAAACTCAGAAAATGTGTATAAAACATTTTTTTAAAACTTGTACAATCTCTTTAGAGCAACCTGGCGTTCTCTCCCCAACAGATGGTTGTGAGGTGGCACGTTGGTGTTAGGGCGGTGATAATTAATATAAAAGGAGCCATTGACTAAGTTAAGACTTAAATGTTAATATATTTTAAAATCTTCTTCATTGGCGTTTTACTAATGTAAAAGTTTATATCATAATTCTACAGTTGTCTTTGTAATTCAATTTTTTATTCTTTAAATTTTGAAATGCATTGTTACTTTTGTAAGGGGACTTTAATTATTATGGTTATTCACTCACCTCCTGACACTGTGATCTTGTCTGCTCTTTCCTTATTCTTGCTGCTCGAAGCTCATTCAAAGCAACAAGGGAATCTTTTTAAGGATAGAAAGCATCAATTTAGCTAAAACTATAAGAACATGTTATAGGTAAGATAAAGACAACTTTTCTCATCTGAGACTATGTACCACTATTGACTAAATTGTCAATATTTAAACCAATTTAAGACAATTAAGCTCTATTTAATCAATTTTTTAGGGGATAAAGATGAGGAGGTTGAAAAGTGTCATCGCTTTACTGTATGGGAATACTATATTATATTCTGAGTGATTTTTTTCAAGCACAAACCTGAAGTGCAATCATCATCATTGTAAAATATACATTAAGTTCAAATTTTCCATTTAGATTAAACTACAGCTAGTGCTCGACTTACGACCACGATCGGTTCCAACAGACCGGTCGTAACACCATTTGGTTGTAAGTTGAGTATGCTATGTGTACAGTAATGTGAAGTGATGTTATAAAAATATTTAAGTTAAATTAATTATACCATAAATTTCTTTTATAATTTGTTATAAATCATAATTTTCTATGTTCGATTGCAGACAACACCGTTCGACTGATAATTGAGGCAGAAATAAATCTGAAATGTAATACAGTATGGCTAGTGATTTTGGTCGTAAAGTCAAATGGTCGTAAGTTGAGCACTAGCTGTATTGTTAAAATCTAATTCACCAATTTTATTTATTGAGGTAATATGTGTAAAATAAACAATTTCAGTTAATTAAAATTACTATTTAAAATTAAATGTTCACATATTGAAAAATAAGCTATAAGGGGAGGGGAAGAGTTATATGTGTATCACCTTGTAAGAGGAAAAAATACATATACCGGGGTAAGAGGAATTTTGGAGATTTAAGAAAAAAGTAATTATATTTTTCATACTTCTGTTTGTACAAATAGACTAAAAATGAGAAACTAGGGCTTAACCGGGTGCAGTTTTTCAATGTTGGATCCAGGTATTTTGAGAAAATATCTGGTGGATTCAAGTTTTATGAAAAAAGAGTTAACTTCTCATTTTCTATAATATGAAATGAAAAATCTGCTGCCCTATGTTGTAGTGAGAGTGAATTGCCTTTGTCAACCGTTTGTGTCAAGAAATAACCCACTGATAGGAACAGGCAGTAGCTGGATCCCGGAATAGAGATGACATTGTACAAAAAATCCATGATTGAGAAGATACTGTCCCTTTATAACAAAGACTTACTAAACAACAGTCGCAGCATAATGAAAATAGCAATACCTTCCTGTACCAGACCATGGAAAAGACTCACAGGCGCACACATGCCTGAAGTGAAAGGACAGCACATGACACAGTACTGTGTGGTGTGCAGCCCCAGAACAAAAAGGTGAAAAAAACAGTGACATTTAAAAAAAAATAATTCCTTGCTAAAGAAAAAAAATCAACCTGTTTACCAAAGTTAAGAAGTCACACATGAAGCTTGCTGCGTGACAGTATTTTTTTCATTCAGTACTATTAACATATAAAGTGGTGTTAGGGGGGTGGGGTTTTTTTGAAGAGAACGCAGGACACACCAGAAGCAAAATATATATAAGAGATTATGCCAATTGAGGCTGCTAAATTTTTATGCAATAACAGTAAAATTTAATATAATTTAAAACTAAAACCTTGCATAGAAAATATAGTTTCTGATTTTATCTAGCATTCTGGTGATTAGCTTAAAATTGCTAATATTTTACTTACTCATTATCTCTTTCTTTGGGCAATAAAAATATGATGTTTAAACTTTATTTTTAAAAAATCAACAGCTCCATGGCCATGGCATCATAGACTGCTCAAAGATCATTTATAGTGGAGATTTCTGGTACCGGTATAAAGAAAAAGCAAAGAGGCAACATATGATTGTCATTGTCAGATTAGTCTTGATTAGTTGTTTTAATGATGCAGAGTCAAATTAGGCAAGATGCACCAAACTGTTTATTATATTATGATCAATCATGTCAGAGACAACAAGGCAAGGTGACTAAGGGGTTGTCCATTAATTACGTCAACAATTTTTATACATTTTTTACCCCCTCCCCCACTGTCAACAACTTTCAAACTTTCAATGACCCCCCTATTTAATTATATCAACATTTTCTACCCCCCCCACCCCTTAAAAAAAAAAAAAAGGAATTATATTATTAATAAATCTATACATTAATTTTACTTTGTGCTGATCTATTTAATAACAATAAAATTGTAGGAAAAACATTTCATTACATCTTTAGCTTGTTAATCAACAAGTTAAAAAGTTTTTACACTTAAATTTTATAATGCAGAATCAATTGAAAGGTTGTTAAAGACTAAATATCATTGTTTGTGGTATTAATATGATTATTGTCAGTAAAGCTGACAATTATAGTATAGTTTCTAGCTGCTTTCATCTTCCCAAGGAGTAGCTGTCATCAGCTGTCATCAAACCATTGCTTAAGAAGCCTGGTCTGGATGAAAATAATTTAAAAAACTATAGACCTGTATCTAACTTATCATTTTTATCTAAAGTTATTAAAAACTAGTCCTAAAACAACTTTTTGCTTACTTAAACGACCACTCTCTTCTCAGTTCTAATCAGTCGGCCTATAGACATTTCCATAGCACAGAGACAGCTCTCTTGAGAGTCGCCAATGACCTCTTTCGCGCAATGGACAGCGGTAATGTCTCCATCCTGATCCTCTTAGACCTCAGTGCGGCCTTTGACAATGTTGACCATAAAATCCTTTTCAAAACCCTTGAAAATTACTTTGGAATTTCTGGTTCAGTTTTGGCTTGGTTTAGGTCCTACCTCTCTGATAGAACGCAAGCGGTCTCTGTCGGTGGCTGTCTCTCCGGCAGTGCTGATTTGGTGTACGGAGTGCCACAGGGGTCTGTTTTGGGCCCGGCTCTATTCACATTGTATACCAGGCCACTGCTCCTCTTACTCAGGAGGCATGTTGTGGAGAGCCAGTCGTTTGCAGATGACACGCAGCTATACAAGCATACCCATCCATCTCTTGTCTATTCCACTGTCCAGACTTTGCGGGGGTGCATTGATGTCAAGTCATGGATGACACTCAGCAAGTTCAAGCTTAATGATGACAAAACAGAAGCATACCTCATTTACAATCACAAATCATCCTCTACCTCAACTCTTCCCACCTCATTTCAAGTAGGTAACTCCGACATACAGTTTACACCCTCTGCTAGGAATCTTGGTTATATTCTTTCTAACATGTCTCTCGATAAACGTATCTCTCACATTTGTCGTTTGGCATACACCGCTATCCGTCAGATCAGCTCCATCATCCACTACCTCACAGATAGCGCAACAAAAACTCTAGTCTGTTCTTGTTCTCTCTCGTCTTGAGATAAAGAGTAATAGTCTTCTGTCAGGTTCACCAAAACACTTCCTAGAAAAACTGCAGAAAGTTCAAAACTCTGCTGCAAGGCTTGTTCTAAAGGCAAAAAAACGTGATCACGTCACTCCACTACTCCACTCACTTCATTGGCTCCCTATACAGGCACGCATTGACTACAAGCTGTCTGTTCTTGGTCTCTCTCTCTCTGTCACAACTTTTTCTCGGATTCCTGCCCTTCCTATCTAACCGAACTTCTTTCTGTCTATTCACAGCTTCGTTCCTCCGTAGAAACGCGTATTCTGTCCATTCCCAAGACACGCACTAACTAAATTATATGGTGAACGATTTTTCTCTTTCTGCGCCCCAAAAAAAACAATGGAATTCTTTGCCACTACACATCCCCAATACACTATCACCCAGGCCTTCAAAACTGCACTCAAAACACATCTCTTTAAACTATACTACCCTGACTGATTCCCCTCCTCTGACTGATAAACATTCCTGCGGGCTGCCGTCCATGGTTTGCCTTGTAAAATTTCTGGGGTGGGTGGGTGGGTGAATATACCTTTGTTTTTGTTGACTACTTGCTGTTTTTTATTTCATTCATGTATTTTATTTTGATATCATGATTAGGTCTCTTTTGCTAAATATTTTTATGTACAGTGCGGTGAGCCCAGTCCTAGGCTAGGGTACAGCGCTATATAAGACAACTAATTATTATTATTATTATTAGCCAGGTTTGCTCTATCGTAACAATGGACATCAGGGACATCATTTGGGTAGGGCAGGGGGGCATTTGCCCCTACCCCCTAATTTGCAGGTTTTATTTAAATTGCTATGTAATGTGGCGCCTCCAGTAATAAAAAACTTAACAAGCAGACCAAGTTTTGGTTTTGTCCCCCCCCCCCCCCCCCCGGCATAGCCTATAGTAGCTGATTGATCCTTTTCACTGATATACCAGACAAATCACCATCATCCTCATCTAACCATTCAGCACTTAATACAGAAGCATTGTCGGTGTGAGCAATAATTGCCATAAGCTCTCTCTATCTCCTTGCAGCAACTTGCATTGGTCGAATCCTTTTTTGTTGGGGAGCAGGTGCTAATTTCTTAAGCTCAAGAGGGCATTGTCAGTTCTGTTGAACATGTTTTTTCAACATGACTTGTGTGCAAAATAGATGTTTTAGATTTTGCAAATTCGTTCAAGCAGCGATGTTATTATTGTTACTCAATTTATATTCACCTAATTCTCAAAATATTGTATTCCTACATTATCAATATCATTTATCTTGACAGCACATGACACTTCACCCTTGTCCTTGTTCCATACCTGCAACAGAATCTACAGGTGAAGAGAGGCCAACTTTTGACTTCTCTAGCACTAACAAAGTGTGCTAACATTCTGATCAGCCACCTCATTTGTTACGTTGCTGCATCCATGTACTAGCATATGTGCAACGGTTTAGGAAACGATGCGGCTATCCTAACTGCTCCTAGTGGGTGCCAGGGCAGCCTTGAAATTCTTGATTGATGTCGACTCCACAGCCGCATTGTCCAGTTGGTTCCAAGCAATTTTTGTTCGTGGGAACAATGATTGTTTATATTGGACTGTGTTACACAGAGGCACGGTGAAGAATTTACTATTTTTCCGGATGTAACTGCTCATAGAGTTGTCAGAGGTGAAGTCAGTGTTTATTGAGCATTTGGCTCTGACTAAGCAACCTGGCTTCTGTGGGGTGAGATACGTGTTAGCTGGGATGGCCGGCACTAGCCCCGTGACCACTTTATATAAGAATGTTAGGCAGAGCTTTTCTCGTCTGTCTTTGAGGGAGGGGATGTCAAATCTTTTTAAGAGGTCAGTGACAAAGCCAGGAGTGGTGGATTTTTAGTCGCGATGAAGTGCACTGCGTTACGTTGTATTCGCTCCATCTTGTCCACGTCTAGCTTTAGGTATGGGTCCCAGATGATCGCACCATATTTTAGTAGCAGACGGATGAGTGCGAGATAGGCATTTCATTTTCAGGTTGTTAGGCAGTGGCGCAGATTTCTTCAAATGAAACCATGTGTGGAGTTGGCTTTTTTTGAAATTTTGTTTATGTGGCATTGCAAAGACACACATTAAATAAATCTTATATTGTTAAAAGCCTAAAAATTATATGACTATTTACATTCATACATTTTTTAAAATAATGTAATAACCAGTCAATTTTTAAGATTAAAATTTTAATAGAGAAAACATGATCAGGGGTGCCACTCACTGAAAGCTGTGAACCCTGAAATCCCTTTCGAAAACTTTCTTGAAACCTGAAACTTCATTTACTAATTTTTCAATCCCTGAAACTTAATGAAACTCAAAATTCCTGATTATCGCAATGCGGCATTTTGTTGATTAATATAAAAACAAGCATGAAATTATCAAATAAAACATTGAGATACATCACAAATGAACAAAATTAAGCAATTAAGGTGTATACATGTAAACATTTATTAGTATTTATTAAATTTACAGCAATAGCAATTTTTCAATTTACTTAGACTTGAAAAGTCAACTTTTGCAATGAGTTATCCGGGCATTTTAGAACAAACGTATACCAGTGGTAGTACCACAAGTGGAAAGTATCTTTTCATATATGGAGTTAATGTTCTCTTCTTTATGATGAAAATAGATAGTTTGAATCAACACACTTTAGTGTCTATACTATCTCCCAAGTGTGAGAGTTTCATAGTTTGACACATAAATTTCATAAATTGAGAAGTTACAAAAGTTGACACCTAAGATGGGTGATAAAGCTGGTATCATCAGATGATTGACTCAGACATTTTCCCCTTGAATACTTGATATCAATATTTCCAGCATAGTATTCATTGATGACTTATTCAATCATTATTGCCAATTGCTGTACTGACTGTACTGTAACTGTAATGCCCATCAGTTCTTTTAAGTTAAAGGAACTGTTAACTGTTGGGCATTACATATTTTTATATAGATCCTGCATAGTGAAACAAAATAAAATATATTATCATATTAGATTTATAGTTTATAGTAAGGCATAGGCCTACATAATAATAATATCGACTATATTATACCAGTATTTAACTACGGCACTACTGCTACGGTAATACAGAGCATTATGAATACTAGTAATAGTAGAATTACAAATTACCGTAAAGTATACCAAGAGTCAGAACACGGGAGTGCATAACTAATAAATAAAAACTAACTAAATACAGTTATGTCAGGCTCACTACAGAACGGATAAAAATAACTTAATCATATTAGACTATTTAAAATTAGAAGGCTTACTCCGTAATTAAATGTAAAGAGAACTTAAGAAGTCTTTAAAAAAAAAAGTTAATCGCCGCCTAGCTCTTCTAATTAAAAAAAAAAATACAAGTCGCCTGCATACAGTAAAGCTACATAACATAACAAAGTACGCTAAGCTTAGTCTTGTTAGACAGCGCTCGGACGAATAGTTTTCTTTTTATGATAATGGTTACCCAACAATTAAAAACTAAATTAAAAAGATATTTACTAAATTTTACACTTTGCTTACCCAAACACTTCAAATATCTCTTGATCGGCGACGTGAACAGAAAATAAATATTTCTGGTCTATCGAAGTAGTACGGTACTCGAAACGCGTAGTGTAAAGCGCATGCGCAAGAGGAAACCACTAGCTCTCTGGCAACAAAAAGGCTAAAAATAGACTAGATCGGCGATTAACGTCCATTTTCAAGGAATTTTCCTGGTTTTTCGCGAATTCTGTTGCACGTGGATTCTTTAAAAAAAAAAACAAACCCAGACAGAATCCGTATTTGAATAAATTGAACTGGCGAATCCGGAAAGAGAGAATATAAAAACTCGCAAATCCGGAACTGAAAAATATTTAGCCTCACGAATCCGGAATTCCGGGATGACCCGGAAAAGTGGCACCCCTGAACATGATTGTTTACGTCAACTAATCTAAACCCCCTCCCTCCCCCTTGTCAACAACTGTCAAACATTTCCAAACCCACTCCCTCCCCCTATTTTGTTGACGTAATTAATGGACCCCCCAAAGTCGTCACTAAGGCCAAGGCTGACACCATATATAACTTATAAGTGTACATAATATTATAAGAAAATTGTATCCCTCTTAAAACAAATAGGCAAAATAAATGTAGTTTAGGGCTTATCAAGTAATTAAGAGTAAGACTTATTAAGTCTACACTGTATTAAGAATAGCCATTGAACACAACATTCATTAGGCTATTAATTAATAATATAGGCATATCGATAACCGATTGCGCATTCAGTTAGCGCATATGGAAAAAAGACGCAAAAACTGAAGTGGCCATCTTACAATCGCTTCTACGGTGACCTCGGGTTTAATGCGTTTTACGTCAGTTTCCTATTTGTACATTTATTTTGTCATCAATTACGATAAATATTTTTTCTTCCGGTGACGCACATATCTTTAGACCAACTTGATTTATCTCTGCTCTTTTGTTGTGTCACTTTGACCATACGGTAAGCTATAAATATGCATTAAATACTCCGTTTCAGCAATTGCACAACATTGAAACCTAAAGAATCGAGTTAAGCATCCAAATTGACTGAGGAATAACTTTGAAATACGGTAGTCCAAATTCTATTTTCTAGGTAAATAATAAAACCTTTCATATTTTCATCACCCTCCCATCACCGGATGGAAAAAATAAATTTCTCCATATTTTGTATCTTCACCAGAAACGAATTCGCTCTCGGTATCAATACAAAAAAAGTTTAAATATTCCGTAATCTTTTAAAATCTGAATAAATCTAAGTAAATTGTAATTTTAGAATACAGAGAAATCGAAAATATACATAAAATCTAATATAATATAAGTTTGCTTCCACCTACTATTTCTAGACCTGCACCTACAATTTAACTATAATTTATAAATCTATTCTACTATTACTAAGTTTAACCACTAAGACTACAACTAAGTTTTCAGTACCGGTACCGGTGCCATTTACTAATCTAATAATTATATCATTTAATAATAGGCTAATAATAATATAAATATTTGAGGCAAGGTGTGCCTCTGAATTGAGTGTCGATTGAGAAACTCCATATGTTTTTGACCTTAATGATAATGAGGTTTACTGTGCATTGTCGTCATACTAGCAACTTTTTGGTGACCATTAAACTGGCAAAGAAATTCAAGTCCTCGGTTTATGATAGACTATAATAATAATACTGGTTTCATTGAATGTGTTTACGTTTTTCAAAGCCGGAAATGAATGCGTGAAAAAAAGACACACATTAAAAACGCGCTAAATTTTATACTGCACCGTGTTTTTGAAAATCAATTCAGTAACGATACTCTGCGAAATTATTCAAAATGAACAACAAAATTGAAAATTATTAAATACACAAATGCAGTACTATTTAGTGTATGTAATTAGAGATTAAATAACAGAGCAAGTTTGAAGAAAATTTCTGCTTTGACCCTAAAAATGTCTTTACTGTAAGAAGTTAAGACGAGTGCAGATGCGGCGGGGGCGCTATTATGCATGTTTTTATTTAACTATTTTAAAGTATTTTAAAAGTACCACCTTCATGGCTGTGCATGCATCCAGTGGACTAGAAAGAAATATCAGAAAAAGTAGATATAAAATAAAAAAATATTTAAATCTAAATATATCCTATTGGGCAACTTTTATAACGTATCTTTGAAGACAGAAGAGTGCTCCATGTTTTCCCACAATCACAATGGCGTCGTATGTGACAAATTAATGAAATGTACATTTAAAAAAAAATCTTGTACAATTTTTTTAAATGGTTATTGTATTCGAACAAAACGACGCTATTTTAAGCCTTTAGTTCCATCAGGTTATATAGGAATTTTAAATTTTATATCACTAGAAATAATTATTCGCGTTTAAATTTCATTGCCTTAAATTTAAATAATAAAAATAAGGCTATTACTATTAGTATTAGTAGTAGTATTAGTAATAAAATAAAGGCCGGCACTACGTACTATCGATTTTGGCCTGCGTACACCGCGGTGGTGTACCTAGCTAAATCATGGTCTGTGGCCTGCGTACAGCGCAGCGATTTTAAGTAGCAAAAATATGGTCTTTGCGAGTCTTTAACTTTTTAGCCTAACCGTTATTTGTATATTTAATGTTATACTCGTGTTAAAATTTAGGGACCTCGGTATGATCCGGGAAGTGCCGAAAATAGGGTATCGTGATTTCGTTGTCAAAATGGCGACCTCCACTTTTTAATTTACCGAGGGTAGAGTTGTTTAGTCTGTTTAGGATTATTTTTGCTAAAGTTAGTTTTTTAATAAATTCTACTTCTGCCATCAAAGCAGACATGTTTCTTGTTCATTTGAAACTTTGCTTTTAGAAAAAATTTGAAGGTTTGACGTTGAAAATTAATGGTAAATAATAGCTAATTTAACTCATTCATAATTTTTTTGTGGAAAATATAAGTTTAAAAAAAGAAAATACCAATGTTAGATGAAATGATGAAGGCATAATTAACAACATATCCAAAATTCATGAGGTTAGGACCAGTGCATGGGTGAGAAATTTGTGCACAAAATTTTTGTCACGTGTCCCAAAATTACCTATTATGGATAATGAACTTTTTTGTAGTAAGTAGCTTGATTTACACTGGAAATCCAGCATATTACTAGGGGTGTGCCGGATCCGTTTTTTCCAACCGGATCCGAATCCGGATTTTCTTATGCGAAATCCGCCGGATTCGGATCCGGATTCCGGAATAATCCGGATTCCGGTTTCTCCTGGATTCCGAATTTTGGTACTTTGCAGATACCGCTAAATCTGAGGGGTTGGATGCCTTCTGAACAGTTGGCACTATCATGTATGGGATTGGGCCGATTGGTGCTGACTCTATTAAACATTAAACAAGCTCAACGCTCAAAACAATCGATTAATGTATCGTGATCATGTGGAATTCGGGAAAGAGAATTACTTTTATTTCAGATTATGGACCTGTTTACCCTCAAACCCCTAAAATCGTACAATCTGGTCTCAAAATCGTACAATACAATATCTCTATAGTAAATAAATAAAACTACAAAATATTTCCATATATTTTGTAAATGTCGCTGACTGGATCTTATAAAATACCGGTATGCCAAAATCCAACGCTCCACAGCAGAACAGTTGGATCATCTATTTTATTTTAAAAACCATCTCTAGTTTTACAATCGCCGCGGTTCTGAGGAACAAAATAATTATGTAACAAAACTACGTCACACGCTTGGTAGCAGTCAAAGGCGATGGTGAGTGAAGTTGTCGCTAGGGCGACACATCAAAATATTACTGTTGACGCAGCCAGCTAGTTCACTGTGATCCCATCAATACGATACGTCGCGGTTAGTTATTTATATCCTTTGACACTCCCACCAATCCCCTACCCATGCGTGTCTCGTATGCCACAATTTCCGTCATCAACAACCCCACCTCCCCAGTCCCCATGAGTGCTTTCGAAATATAAGGATGGTCCCAACTTTAAAAAAAAAAAAAATCCAACCATTCGTTTTTCTCGTTCATATTCACTGCCAGATCTTCATTAGAGAGGGCTAAAACGTCCAAACCCGAAAATTTTTTTTTTTTTTAAATCGGGGGAAAATTTTTTCCACCGGGTCTCTGAAAATCGTAGTTTTGGCAGGTCTTGGCGTACAATCTTAAAAGACATCTAAAAATCGTACATTGTACGCCTAAATCGTAAGAGTAAACAGGTCTGTGATCCGGTGAGTCACAAAATCTGGCAAATTCCGAAATCCGGTATATTCCGGATTCCGGTTGTTCCGGTTACATGTAAATCCGGCGGAACCGGATTTCACCGGATAGTGCAAAATCCGGCGGAACCGGATTCCGGACCGGATTCCGGCACACCCCTACATATTACCCACTAATAATATTTTAAAACAAAGCAACAATTTAATAGCTCTAATTACTTTTATCTGATGCTTTTATTTTGAGTGGGGAATTGGGATAAATAGCTCTATCCTTATTGTATGATAACTAATAGTATAAATAATTAAATAAATAAATACATATATATATATATATATATATATATATATATATATATATTTGTATTTATATATATCCATCCATCCTATGCCTATAAGCCTAGTATAGTATAGCCTATAGTAGCCTATAGGTCTAGTACCATCCCAACTTATTATTGCAAGACCTATTAATAAACAATTAACTATTATAGTTAATGATATTTTAGGCCATGTAATCATATTTCATTATTTAATGCAAATCATCATTCTTAAATTTTAAAATAAAAATGTTTTAAAAAAATATTCACTTACCTTTGATATTGAAATATCCTGAATTCACTCACAAATCACAATATTCCACAAGAAACTTATGTAATCCTCAGTATTCTTACTTAAAGAAATAACACACTTTCTGATACAGTAATCCAAGAATTTCTTAAGCTTTTAATAAAGAACAATCATAACAGCTTGTACTTACCTCAAGAAAATGACTTAGAACTTATTTTAATTTCTATCAACAGCCAAAGTTAATACATGTTGATTTGTGAAACAAAATTACTAATTTTTTGGTCATATTCAAATGGGACTAAAATACATACATAGAAAATGGTAAGATAAAAAGTATAATCGTCAATTTTATGTAAATGAATCAAAGTGCCTATAAAACTGAAAACTATTTATTTAAAATTCGTTAAGCACCTTGGGAAGATATTGAGTAAGTTCCACGCTTTGGGGCAAAGTACTTGTAAAGCATTTCTTATTATTTTTTGGAAGGGAGGGGGCTGGGGGTGTACTGTTAAAAAGTTAAACAATGATTTATTTTTAAAGTTAACCACTTTATT